GGGTCTGTACTGTACCATGTAGCCGAAGACTCGAAGTAATTTTGTGCTGCCCCTTTTTCGTGTCCACAGCAAGTTCGGTGATGCGTTGTTGGGAAGTGATGACGAGGACAGCAAATTGTGCAGGTGGACTGCATGCGTCATCGCGTCTGGCCACAAAGTGTTGGGCAATCTCATCCCCAGGAGCAGCTTTCGCATCGTCGTCTGCAAGGTCCGGTTCATCCTTTCTGCGACCCCCTGCTGTTGGTGATCATAGGGCAGGGACACCAGGCGTCTGATGCCTCTTTCTGCCAAGTAGTTCCTGAATCGTTGTGACTGGTACTCCAGTGCTCCGTCTGACTGGAAGCTCTTGAGTGGCGAGCCCGATTCTCGTTCGGCGATGGGCAGCCATGACGTGAAGGCTTCGAACGCTTGATCTCGTAACTTGAGGTTGTAGTGCTAGATGTATCGTGTTGCTGCATCGATGAACGTTATAACATAGTTGTATTCTGCTTCACTGTCGTCTCGAGGCATATTTAAGATTTTGCTGTAGACTTTTTCCATCGGTTCGTATGCAGGTGCGCTTGGATTGTGGTGCGACGTAAAAGGTTGGTGGGGAAGATCGGCTTCGGGGCACGTAAAGCATCGTGCGCGGGGTCATCGAAGTTCTTGGCCACTCGTTGTAAGAAGGGCGTTAAATTCTAACACTTCGGCTTGTATGGTTTGTAGCACTGTGCTGTTTGCAGGGTGCCCGAGGCGTTGATGTCAGATGTCGTCGGGAGCGCGATGGCCGGGTGAGCGTTGGTACATGTCGACGTTGGAGAAGAACGCGGCGACCGTGGTGGGACTTCGGCAGACTTCTCGGGTGATGGGCATAAGTTGATCTGCTTTGGTTGGCGGTCCTCGGATTGTTGGTGATGGTACACGGCTGGGTCCTGCTGCTGCTACTGCAGGTGATGTCGGGGAAGGGACGCTTGCTGGTACTTGTCTTTCTTGTCGGATGACTGCTAACGCTCGTGTTCTCTCTGCTACAGGTATGGTGTTGGAGTACCAGAATCCATATGGGGTAAAGTCGGGGTCAAGATCCGGCGGGTGCGTCCAGGCGGCGAACGACACGATGCCATCGCTGTCGGCAGTACCGCGGTCGGGGACGAAATCCAACACGAAGACACCCGACTTCAGGAGAGCGCGACTGATGAAAAGGCCGCCTTTCCCGTGCTAAAGACGAAATTCGTTGGCATCCGAGTCGCATTCCAGGTGAATCCCTTTTTCCATTAGCTGTCTGACGCTTAGCAGATTGTATCCCAAGTTGTCGACGATTAGAACCTTGTTGAGTTGCAGTATGACATTTGTCTCCATGGACTGCAACTGAACCACTCCTTGTCTATTTGTTTTCAGGTTCTCGTTATTGGCGACGGTGATGATGACATCGCGGTTGAGGCGTCGCTCTCGTTGCACGAAGCGTCCGGAAGAACACATGTGTTGGCCGCAACAGATGTCCAAGAACCAGGTGTTTCGCCCGGTGGGTTCGGCGCAGGAGCCCGAAACTCCATCTGTACGCGACGCGTAGTGGTCCACTGTCCCCCCCCCCCCCTAAGGCGATACCGTGCGGGCCCGTCGCGGTATGGCCCGCATGGCTATGGAGATGCTCATCGGGTACGCGCGGAGCCTAGCGTTGGCTCTGCAGGACCTGGGTATTTTATTCGACATCCGATACCCTTTGGCATGTGAGCGGCTGGAGCGAGCGTCACTGCCGCTCGACATGGCCTCCACTCGCGCGCTCATAGACGAGGCGTACCGTAAGCAAGTGCTCCAAGCCACTGCTGCGATGACCGGCTTCCCCGACTTTGAGGAGTGGATGACGTTTGGCGGCTCCCACGTTGCGGGAGAGGCGCCGTCATCTGCGGGGTGGTTGACAATAGCCAACTCATGAAGGAGGGATCTACAGTAAGTTCCTGTGTGGGTATCATGGTCGACTGCTCATCAACGTGTGCTGAGAGTTGCAATGTGCCTTGTGTGTGCGTAGAGTTTTGTTATTGCCGGCCTTCGTTATGTGTAGCTTAGCGTTTTCTGTGTGTGGTTTGTGGAACCCACAATTTATCTATCCGTTTCAGTTTGTCGTTTGTCGAGTTTGCTTTTTAACGATCCGTTTGCTGCACGTGATGAAACATGTGGAGCTATTCATGATGCAACAACCCATTAAGAGACGACACACCTTGCGACCACCGGGCGACGTGCCTATGTGGACGGCGTCGCAACAAACGGCATCGTCCCCGCCCCTGCCAGCTGCGCATAGGACAAAGCTCCTACCTTCTTGGAAACGCTACACGCAATTTTGCCCGGGGCATACCGCCCTATTTGTTGTTAAGTGCCTCATTCCTACATTCTTGGATTCTGCACTTCGGTAATACGATCTGTACTGTACTCCCTGCACGTTGATACTGTACTGCCTGCTCGCCACTGGCCTACGTGGCAGAAAGCGCGGCGGGACTGTCTAGAGCAAAGTCTCGCGTGTGTGCGCGGAAGGAGGGGGGCAGCGTATTTGGCAAAAGCTTTGTAGTGTTTCGATTTTAATCAGCTGATCCTTGTACAATAGAAAAGGGCTTACACGATGAACGCTCTCCAAGGGGGGTGGGTCTTATAGTCAAATAATGTGCATAAGCCGGATGGGTGCCTATGCGCATTGCGTCGCGAGGCCCGACGACGTGACAGCCAACCGCGCCGAGCCCGAACAAGCACGATATGCAGTGCTGTAAGAATACTAAGGTCGGGCACGGGTATCAAGCGCGCAATTCCTGATACCTGTAAAGTAGGAATACGCTCTAACTGTCCGATAACAAATTCCCACCGAAGTTGGGTTCGCGATTCCAGACGCGTTGTCAAGCAAGGAAAGCTGGGCACGAGCTGTCACTCAAACTCACAAAAAACGCCTGTCGAACTGCCCAACATTTGTGTCACATCCACTGTCGAGATGGTTTCCAAGCGGTTTGCATTGGCGTGACTTTTTGGTGTCAACAACTAGCAGCATGTTATAGTCGCACACCGTACGTTTTTTTTTTTTTTTTTTTTTTTTTTTTTTTTTTTCCGTGCCTTGCGAGTCTCACAACCAATGACGTTCTCATGCGAGGCCATCTCATAACGAGGGTCGCCAGAACCTTGTTGTTGCATTACGCAGATCCGAATTCGGTGGGTCTAGATCCAACTTTGAGTAGATCCAACTTCGTAAGAATTTGCCGTTAAGCAAGCTTCTCAATGTACAAGGTGTTCCAACAAATGGATGGTGGCATTATTGTAGAGATAAGTTCAGAACCGCATGCACCATGCCCTTATTTGCATAACGTAGATGCAGATAGCATTGTTGGGGATGTGATTTTGGAGCTAAGACTCCAAGCTAGTTGGATCAAGCTATGTGTTACCGTTGCCAAGTATCTCGTTAGTGTAATGAATTATAAATTCCTTAATGAGGCTGACTACAAGACGTACGACTCAAACAGTCCCGAACCAGCGTTAGGCTTCCAGGCTCTATTCGAGCCTCCTGTGCCTTTCCGGACCTCGCTACGTCAGGGAAACACCCTCCTCGCTTCCCTCCCTGACAAATCTGACACAAACTTGACGCAATGCTGACGCTCGCTCAATCTCAGAGTTCACCTTGCGTATGGCGTTACATCAACCGCAAGGGTAAACTAGGCCCCCACACTCCAAAAATACAACCACCACCACTTTACCCCACCTCGCGAACTTGGGCCTGCCCTGCAAAAAAATAGCAGCTGAACTAACCCATCGCCAAAGAGAGTCGTCTAGAGGGCATCTCAACAAGCCCTAGGTTCTTTTTTCGTCATTTTGCCCCGGAATATTTCTCGACTGCCCTTGGGCAGCAGGTTTTTGTTGTGCAATTTTGAAATTCTCTCCTCTCTCCTTTCACTTGCGCTTTCAACAATTTGGCCGCGTGGCTTCCAAGCGAGGTTGGGAAAGTGCACCTGGTTTGGGTGGTAACCAGTGCTCTCGAAGTCGCTTGAGGAGCTTCCTCAATGCCGACATCAATGTCAAATGCCTGCACAACTCAGCCGCTGTCGGCCGACTTTTCTGAACCGATGTGCCTACCTCACCACGTTGGTCTTACCTGATTGGTTGCTGCTTGCGTTTGTCTCCTCCCCCCACCCACCCCAGGGGCCCCACACCTATTTCCGGCTGGGAAATTATCAGAAAGGACCCTCGCTCTGCCAGGGGTGTGAGCGTAAAAGGTCCGTCAACCTCCGAACCTGAAGTACACTCTGTTTTATTTTGAGTACTTATTAGTAAACGTTTATCGACGAGAAAGGCAAAAACATAAAAGCCATTTGGGACCGAATTCCGTTCGAGATGGCATCAACCCAAAACACGCAGCTCTTTTGCGATTTTAGGGTTGATGCCACCCGGAGTCGCATGTGAGGGCCCTAAGGGAATTAGTTTTTTTTTTTTAATGCCCCAAAACACTGCTCGTGTAAATGTCCGACCTCACAGGGACACGATACGACGCGCCCCACAAAACTGAGCTGTTTCGCGAGCCAAAAATAGTTACGTGTTGTACGATGAAGACGATGTATCTCAGGTTCGGCGACAAGGTCTCGGGGCAGAAAGCTGCCGGACCTTTTTGCTCACACCTCTGGCGGGGCGAGGACCCTTTTTGATCATTTCCCTTCCCGGCCTCCCCCCGCGCCCCGATAAGCAGCCGCAGAATCCCAACCTCTTCCTCAGCCAGCCTTGTCACCCCGTTACGCTTCCCCCCGCACCGAGTGACAGATGCTTGAGCAGTGAGGTGGTAACCAGCGAAGTGCTGGCCCGTTGTGAGAGCTCTTTCAGCGAGACTTAGCGAAAATGCGAGAAAGGGGCTGATAGCGCCGCCTGGCGCCTCGACTGATTCCCCCGTTTCATCTCTCCAGCTACATCAGGTCTGGCTGTAAAAGTAGACACGCGTTCGGCAGTTGGGTGGCGGCATCAGCTCGGTTCAGCCCAGATCAGTTGTGCTGCCTTGCGTTGCGTTCAGAATCCGAATTGTTCAACTGCTGAAATTCTCAAGCCGCACCTTATTCTCCGAGGTGCCTTATCTGCGGTTTGCTCCACGTACCAAGCTCTGCTTGGATTCCGCGCAGTATTGTTGCTTGCGCACTCGCAAGCCAATCTTAGCCACCTCAGTAACGCGTGCCTGTAACATTCTCTGAAACCACCATTCCGAGGCGCTCCTAGCGTTTTTCCTCGACTCCCGCAGCTTTCAAACCTACCGCCAGTCATGACGGGCCGCGCCAAATGCCTCCTCGCCGTCGCGCTGCTCCTCTCATCCACGTGGCAATGCCTCGCCGTCAAATGACGTAAGTCACGTCACGCCATCCCGCTTTCCTGCCTGAATCAGGTTTTAACCCTGATTTTCCGAGTATTTTCAGGAGAGCCTAGTATTTTCCAAGTCCTACTGCTCTCATTCACCGCATAATGCGACCCTCGTCATCCCCCCCTCCCCACCCCCTTGGCCACCCCTCGCTCCCTTCCGCTTTTCCCCATTGCGTACGCACGCTCGCAGCGCCCGCCCCCCAGTCCACGTCACTCTACATCGTGCGCCTGCGCTCCGCCCTTCCGCTCGCCGCATATCGTGGCGGCATCGCGAGCTTCTCAGGATGGACGGAAGGCGACGACGACGATCATGCCACCGTCAGCTCTGCCGGTCCGTCAGGCCTGCGGGCGACGGACGCGACGGTGGCGTACGAGACGGCGGCGCTGGGCGGCAGCGTTCCGCGGCGCGCGCGGCTGAGTTTGGAAAATCCGCAGCTCAAGGCATACGCGGCCATGCTCGAGACGCAGCAGACGCGGGTCGCGTCTGACGTGGGCGTCGCGGCAGACAGCGTCGTGTACAGGTACGAGGGGAGGAGTGAGAACCATGTCAGCACTGCAATGCGAGGAAGGGGGGAGGGGGGGGGGGGGGGGGAGGTGTGGGGGCGTTTTGAAGCTACTATCCGCGCGCGCGCTTGAGAGCTGCTGGCACGAGTTTGAGGAGTCCGGCATTCAGCATCATGCCATCCTTGGCTCCCCTGCCGCATCGCCTATTGCATCCTCACCCCCATCCTCACCCCATCCTCACCCCCAATCCTCGCCCCCATCCTCACCCGCCATACCCAATTTAACGGCCCATTGACTTCCCCATCCTCAAGCCTTCTGCATCACCTGCCCCTAACGCCCCCCCTCAAGCCCTCGAGATGTAAGCGTTGGAAATTCAGCCCCATCCCATGGCTCCCCTCTGGCATTGTCTCTTGCATCCATTCACAAGCGCCCCCTTGCCCTCCCCATCCCCATGCCTTCCCCTCATCTCCCCCAACCTCCCCCTCCTCCCCCCTCCCCCCCTTCCCCAGCTACAAGCACGCGAGCCACGGGTTCGCAGCAACCCTGTCTCTGCAGCAGGTGCGGCGCCTGCAACGGCACGCAGCCGTGGCGGCGGTGGAGCGCAGCCACACCGTGCGCCCGCTCACCATCGACTCGCCCACCTTCCTCGGCATGCGCGCCGCCGGCTCCCTGTGGCCTGCGAATGGCGGGCAGGCGAAGGCGGGCGAGGGTATGGTGATCGGCATCGTGGACACGGGCATCTGGCCCGAGCACCCGTCTTTTAGTGCCACGGGCTTTTCCTCTGCCCGCCCCGCGGGTTGGTCGGGGAAGTGCGACACGACGAGCGAGTTCAAGTGCAACAACAAGATCATCGGCGCACGGGCGTTCTACAAGGCGTTCAAGAAAGCAAACGGCATGCCGGATCTAACCTCGGACTGGCTGTCACCACGGGATTCCGCCGGCCATGGCTCGTGGTGTGCCAGGTGCGTGGCTCTAGCTCCTGCAAAGAACCGGCCACTTTCCGCTTTGCAAATCTGCCCCTATCCGATCCGTCTCATGTATGTGCCGCTATTCGCGTCCGGGCTTCCATGTTCAGCTGTCCACGGCCCGTAGCAGCAGACCATCCAGCATCCCCTCTCACACCCCACCTATCCCTCCCTTCCCCTCTTCCCCCCCCCCCCCCCCCCCCCAATTCCTTCCTCCCCCCATATCTTCCCCCTCATATAGCAGCAACGAGCAACAAGGAGCTACAGCAACCCCTCTCGCACCCCATGCCCTCCCTCCCTACCCCCTCCCGCCCATCCCCCCCTTACAGCGCAGCAGCGGGCAACAAGGACATTCCGATGGAGGGCGGCAAAGCCAGCGGCATGGCGCCAGCAGCGCGCGTGGCGATGTACAAGGTGTTTTGGGTGTCCAAGGGCCAGATGTTCGGCGAGGGCGCCGACATCGTGGCCGCGGTGAACCAGGCTGTAGCGGACGGCGTGGATGTGATCTCGCTGTCGCTGGGCGGCATGGACCCCGCCGACACCTACTTCAGCCACATGCCGTACCTTGCTGCTAACCTGGTGCGTGTGCTGTGCCGACCTGGTGTCTGGGCTGCTGCTGGTTATTCTTGGCTGGGCACTCTCTGTGTGTGCACCGGGTGCGTGTGCTGCCAGCTGTGCTCCGCCCAATCTTTGTCGGCTCTTGTTGTCGTCTTCGCCCGCCTGCTGCGAAACCGGCGTCCGGTCAATTCCCAGCGTCTCTCCACCCATCCACCAGGCTCTCGAGTCTCGTCACACCTCTCCCCCCCTCTGCTACCCGTGTGTCTCCCCTCCCCTCCCTGGCGGTGCAGGCGGGGGTGTTTGTGACATATGCAGCGGGGAACTCGGGGTCACCTGGCAGCGGGGGCTCAAACGACTACCGCTCGCTCGACAACTTCTCGCCCTTCTACCTCACCGTCGGCGCCAGGTGGGCATCGTATCGTACCCTCCCATGCCACAAACGGGTGCAATCTCACCCTCCCATGCCACAAATGGGTGCAATCTCATCCTCCGGTGCCACAAACGGGTGCAATCTCACCCTCCCATGCCACAAACGGATGCAATCTCACCCTCCCATGCCAGTAACAGATGCATCTTGATTCGCTTGCACACCCTTTCCTCCTCTCTCCCCTCTCTCTCTCGCCATATCTGCCCCTCTCATCATCCCTGCCCCTCTCATCATCCCTTCGTCTCTCCTTTCATGCCCCCTGTCTTTCCACCCCACGATCCCAACCGTGCAGCTCCATTGCCCGTGGCGGTGTAACCCTAAAGGCCACAGCAGCAGCAGCCACAGCTCTCGGCAACTCATCCACTGCCACCCCTGCAGCCACCCCTGTCCCCTGGATTGCCGATTTCTCCTCCACCGGACCCGTCCAGGACCCCTCCACCGACGCCACCAGCGCCCTGCCCACCAACAGCATCTTAAAGCCCGACATCATCGGCCCGGGAGTATCCCTGTACGCAGCGTGGCCGGGCACGAGCGTGGGCGACAAGGGGACGGATGCGCAGCTGTCAGGGACGTCGATGGCGACGCCTCACCTGGCGGGCATTGCTGCTCTCATCATGCAGAAGTACCCCTCGTGGAGCCCCGCGCAGGTCATGTCCGCCATTATGACAACTGCCAGGACCACCGATACCAGTGGGGCTCCTATTCAGACTGCGTACGGAGAGGCCGCTACTCCATGGGACATGGGCGCCGGCCATGTGCTCCCTGCAAAGGTGCTGGATCCTGGGCTTACCTACGATGCACGGGCAGCGGCTTACCGGAATTTCCTTGCTGGGCAGAGTCTGAAGCGTGCGCAGAAAGAGTTTCCGAGCGCTAAGCTTATGAAGACAGCTCCCCGCATGCTGAACCGGCCAAGCATCTCAATCTCGCGACTGAAAGGGACGCTTACTGCAACCAGGATGGTTACAAGCGTTGCAGCCTCAAAAAGCACGTACACAGCAAATATCAAACCCCCTACTGGCGTGTCAGTTACTGTGTCACCAACCAGCTTCACCATTTCTCCTGGTGAAAAGCTTACATATACTGTGACCTTCACGGTAACCAAGATATCCGAATACTTCCAGTTTGGAAGCCTAACTTGGGTGGATGATACGGGACACTCGGTAAGATCGGTGCTTGCAATTCAGCCGGTCATGAAGTAACGAGTGTGTGCACTAAATAATAGTAGCATCAGCCGCATCCTGTGCGCCAATGCTGTTATACGATTTGACATCTTATTCAGTGGATGAAGCGGTCGGGGTTGTGTGGTGTGATGTTTGCTGGGTTGCTTCTTTAGCATAGCATAGTTGGTTGCTTGATAATAATGCTCTTGCATAAACATCTATGCATTCTAATGTTTCTCCATGTTATTTGATTATTGGACTTCACCATAAGTTTCACTTAGTTTCCCGCGTCGTCTCTCCGCAACGCATCTCGCCCCAACAAGTCAACCAGGCGACATGCGCCTCGACACCACAATTATTGGAATCCAGGGGCGAATTTTGCTTGTCGTCCTCCCATCACAAGTAACGCCCTCCCCAGGTTTTCGAATCCCTCCCGTCAGCAGCAGCAGCAACCTGCTCAAAAACCGCGCCGCTAGTATCCTGCCCTGCAGGTGGTGGCAGCCCCACACCACACCTCACCCAATTCACCCCACAATTATTGTTGCGTTCTCTTCGTGCAGCGTATCTGCCAGAGAGATGGCCGCGCTGCGCGCCCCATCCATCACACATTCAAGTATATAAGCCGCACATCGTTGCATATCTCAGCGCACTCTGAAAAACACATTCCCTGGATCTACATCTACTAGGACGCTTCTGATTAGGCCAGAATCTTCTATCTTTCACCAAGAAGGCTGCCACAGTTCCTCGGTCCGCATCAGACGAGCCCGCAATCGCCCAACACGAATTCGCTCGTCACGAGCTCGCTCGCCGTGAAACACGGCGGACGGCACGATGGTTAGCGCCAAGCGCCTCCTCCTCTTCCTGTGGCTCCTCGCTGCCACGTGTCAATGCCTCTCTCTTCGACGTAAGTGCACGCACCGGCTTACCCGTGATCCAGCGCATGATTTTTGCACCGTACTGTGTTGGCCCAGCCCGCTACCGACTGGGTTAAAAGGGCATGTATTTTGTGGTGGGTAGCGCACCCATTACCCCCCAGGACGAACCTGTAGCCCTCCCACACTCAACTAGGACGATCCCAGTGCCCCTCCAACATACTGAACCGCACATCAACGGAATGCGCCGCAGATGGATGAAGCGCAACGGGCTTTATCACCTCAACCCCTTCTGTACGTGTCCCTTTTCCCCGCCCACAGATATTCCTCCCCACGACCCGGAAGCCACCGCCGCCGACGACGGGGTCTCTTCACTTGCTACTAACGTGGATGGCCCTCTGGACTCCACTACCGGGGATGATTCCGCCTCTAACGCGGATGTCCTCGCAGAGAACCCCCCTACCGCCGTTCCCGTCAATCCCGATGGCATCAGCAATCCTAACTTCTTCCCAGTTTCAAGCGAGTCTGGATCGGCCACCAGTAGCAGTGATAGCACTGCTCTTTACATCGTGCGACTGCATTCCGCGCTCCCGCTCGCTGCCTACCGCGGAGCCGTCGCCAGCTTCTCCGGCTGGGGTGACGACGACGCTGACGACGATACTCACGGCGGCACTTCCGTCCCGGCTGGACTAGCGGCGACGGCGGAGGCGGTGGACGAAGAGGCGACGGCGCTGGGCGGCAGAGTACCTCGGCGCGCGCGGCTGTGCGCGGACAACCCGCAGGTGGCGGCTTACGCGCAGATGCTCGAGTCGCAGCAGACGCAGATCGCGTCGGAAGTCGGCGTGGCGTCGACCAACGTGGCATACAGGTGAGAATTAAGAATCGCAGTGAATCCAGAGAGTACTTGGAATCAATCGGTCAATTAGCCCTCAGTTTCTAAATTAGGAACTCTCATTCCACTCTCATATCCACCGTGTGAGATGCGGTTTTAGGGTGCAGGGAATCATGTTTACGGCTCTGTTTTCGGCTAGGTTGGTTACGGGGATGAACAAGAGAAGGTCGCCCATGCTGTCGCTTACCCTGCCTCCCCGGGAGGCATTTCCAAAAAGAGAACCTTTCCCCATGCCGGCTGCCCGAACAGCAACGGCCCAATTTGTCTTGCTGCCTCTACAAATCCCCCCTTGATCCATCTCCCTCTTCCCCTCCCCCCGCCCCAGCTACAAGTACTCGACCAACGGCTTCGCGGCGGTGCTGACGGCGGACCAGCTGCGGCGGGTGAAGCGGCATCCCGCCGTGGCGTCGGTGCGGGCGAGCGCGCGGAAGCAGCTCTTCACGACGGATTCGCCCGCGTTCCTCGGAATGAACAGCGCCGGCTCGCTGTGGCCCGCGAATGGCGGGCAGGCGAAGGCGGGCGAGGGCATGGTGATCGGCATCGTTGACACGGGCATCTGGCCCGAGCACCCCTCTTTCAGCGACGCGGGGTTCTCGTCGTCGCGCCCCGCGGGGTGGTCGGGGAAGTGCGAGACGACCAAGGAGTTTAAGTGCAACAACAAGCTGATCGGCGCGCGGGCGTTTTACCAGGGCTTTAAGAGCGCCAACGGGATGAATCTCGCCGGTGACTGGCTGTCTCCCCGCGACGCCAACGGCCACGGCACGTGGTGTGCGGGGTGAGTGGGCACAGCGCGGTCGTGACTTCAAGTTGGTACAACGGTTTCCTCTGCCCGACTCTTTAGAGCATTTGCCGTCCCTGCTGCCCCCACCTCAAGCTCCAAGGATCCTACTGCTTTCCGTTTCAACCGTCCCATATCTTCCGCTCCTCTTCCCCTCCCCCCATGCATCCCTTCCCCTCCACCCATGCATCCTTTCCCCTCCCCCCATGCATCCTTTCCCCTCCCCCCATGCATCCTTTCCCCTCCACCCATGCATCCTTTCCCCTCCACCCATGCATCCTTTCCCCTACCCCCATGCATCCCTTCCCTTCCCCCCATGCATCCCCTGTGCAGCGCTGCAGCGGGCAACAGGGGCGTGCCCATGGCGGGCGGCAAGGCGAGTGGCATGGCGCCAGCAGCGCGCCTGGCGATGTACAAGGTGTTCTGGATGAACAAAGACGGCGACACGTTTGCAGACGAGTCAGACATCATCGCAGCCGTCAATCAGGCCGTGGCGGACGGCGTGGATGTGATCTCGCTGTCCCTGGGCGGCGTGAACCCGATGGACACCTACTTCGATGACATCGCTTTCCTCAACGCCAATCTCGTGCGCCTCTTGCCTCATTGCCTCTCGCCTCATTGCTTCTCGCCTCATTGCCTAAACCATGGTGCCCGCCCTTGCATTTCCCTCCACTGACCTTTGTTTCGCTCTCCTGCGTCTCAAACACTCGCTGAGCATCCGCCTTTTCACTATACTTCTTGTATTCCCTTCCTTCGGGCAATGCTGCTCTGAAGCAACGTATCAGCACCTATGACCGTCTCCCCTCCCTCCTCTCCTACCCTTCTTCACCTGCCCTTCTTCACCTGCCCTTCTTCACCTGCCCTTCTTCACCTGCCCTTTTCTCCTGCCCTTCTTTACCTGCCCTTCTTCACCTGCCCTTCTTCACCTGCCCTTTTTCTCCTGCCCTTCTTCACCTGCCCTTCTTCACCTGCCCTTCTTCACCTGCTCTTCTTCACCTGCCCTTCTTCACCTGCCCTTCTTCACCTGCCCTTCGTCACCTGCCCTTCTTCACCTGCCCTTCTTCACCTGCCCTTCTTCACCTGCCCTTCTTCACCTGCCCTTCTTCACCTGCCCTTCTTCACCTGCCCTTCTTCTCCTGCCCTTCTTCTCCTGCCCAGGCGGGAGTGTTTGTCGCCTTTGCGGCGGGCAATGACGGGCCGCCCCAGGGCTTCCGCACCCTTGACAACTACGCACCCTTCTATCTCACAGTGGGAGCCAGGTGAGCCGTCTGCCTCACAGTGGGAGCCAGGTGAGCCGTCTGCCTCACAGTGGGAGCCAGGTGAGCCTTCTGCCTCACAGTGGGAGCCAGGTGAGCCGTCTGCCTCCCTCCCTGTACCCCAAGGTGCCACCAAGCTTCCCCCATACGTCCTCAAGTCTCCCTCCCCCTCCTCCATGTCTCTCCCTCCAGGTCCCTGCCCTTACCCATGTCCCTATGGCCCTGCCCACCTCCCCCCTCGCCATGTCCCTGCCCATCTCCCCTCTCGCCATGTCCCTGCCCTTCCACACGCATGACTCCTTCCCATGTCTCCTTGATCCCTCCCGTCCCGCCCATGTCTCTCCCTCCCCCACCCCCATGTCTCTCCCTCCCCCACCCCCATGTCTCTCCCTCCCCCACCCCCATGTCTCTCCCTCCCCCACCCCCATGTCTCTCCCTCCCCCACCCCCATGTCTCTCCCTCCCCCACCCCCATGTCTCTCCCTCCCCCACCCCCATGTCTCTCCCTCCCCCACCCCCATGTCTCTCCCTCCCCCACCCCCATGTCTCTCCCTCCCCCACCCCCATGTCTCTCCCTCCCCCACCCCCATGTCTCTCCTTCCCCCACCCCCATGTCTCTCCCTCCCCCACCCCCATGTCTCTCCTTCCCCCACCCGCATGCTTCCTCCCCCTCCCCACCAGCTCCATTGCCCGAGGGGGCCTGACTCTCGCCAGCTCACCAAAGTCATCCAGGGCAGCAGCTGCCAATGAAACGTCAGTCTCAGCCTTGCCATCAGCAGGCGATTCCGCCCCAGCCGTGACAGACTTCTCCTCCACCGGGCCCCTCGTCTTCCCCGACATTGGAACCGGCAACGGCCTCGCCACCGACAGCATCTTAAAGCCCGACATCATCGGCCCCGGGCTGGACCTGTTCGCCGCGTGGCCTGGCAAGCGTGTGGGCGACAAGGGGACGGATGCGCAGCTGTCGGGGACGTCGATGGCGACGCCTCACCTGGCGGGCATTGCTGCTCTCATCATGCAGAAGTACCCCTCGTGGAGCCCGGCGCAGGTCATGTCCGCCATCATGACCACCGCCACAACCAAGGGTGTCGGTGGCGCCGCCATCACCGCCGCCTTCGGCAAGACTGCCACGCCGTGGGACATGGGTGCTGGGCATGTGTTTCCCCCTAAGGTGCTTGACCCCGGGCTCACATACGACGCCCGGAAGAGTGCATACCTCAACTTCCTGGCTGGGCTAGATATGGAGAGGACGCAGCAGGAGTACCCGAACGAGAATCTCAAGTCCGTGCCTCCCAGAGAGCTCAACCGCCCCACCATTTCGATCACCAGTCTCAAGGGCACGCTGACCGTCACACGGACGGTCACCAATGTGGCTGACTCCGCTTCCACGTATTCTGCCAAGATACAGAAGCCGAATGGCGTGGAGGTTACTGTCAAGCCCAGCAGCTTCACCGTTTCTCCTGGAAAGAAGGTTACCTTCGTGGTAACGTTCAAGGTTACCAAGACCTCTAAAAGCTTCCAGTTCGGCAGCCTCACGTGGGTGGATGACAAGGGCCATTCCGTGAGGTCTGCTATAGCGGTCAAGCCTGTGCAGAAGTGAACCCAGTCACTTCAAGTCACTTCTGCCCAATAATGATGGACCAACAAGATAGTGCTGGTTCAAAGTAGCACATGAGAAGTGACCGCCCGCTTGGCACTTGGAATGAAGGCAAGCCTTGTGTTGGATGCAGTTGCTCGTAGTATGGGGCATGATTGAGAATAATTTATTTATTTTCTAGGTTGGAACAATTCCTATCACCTATGCACACAAAATTGTGCAGTGCACACATGGAGCGTAATTAAGCACCAAGAGTGAGCATAAAAAGAGTAAGAGCGCTTAAAAACCGTGAATGGGCATTGTGTATGTTGGATAAAATATTAAGATGGTTTGTCCCACCGTATTATACAATGGGTGAACAAATGTTTTGAAGGTGCGAGTTTATATATCAAGGACATTACTAGAGGAATATGCAAATTTGCAGGATGTGGGGCACGGGCGCGATGGCATTGGGTTTGGTGTTTGACGGTGGCGCTCACCAGCTCAGCGTTTCGCCACCCACCAAACCAGCTCGCTGAACCGCTGCGAAATGCGCCACTCAGTATGCTGCTGATCTGTGATTGCTTGATTCGTTGACGAGATTTACGGCCCCTCCAGCTACAAGAGCAGGCGACATTTGGGCCAAAATCTTGTTTGCCGTCCTCCGTTGTCTGCGGAACTTCTTGGCGCGGCGCGGCTGGTCGCTGCTCGCCACTTGCTGCTCTCTGCATTCTTGGGGACGGCCGCACTGCACGGCTCAGCTCAGGCCAAGCCGCCTCCCTCCAGCACAGCCCCACTTTACGCCAAAGCTCTCTCTGCAATACCATATTGTACCGACCACCAGTCCAGGACAGTTCTCAGCGTGTGCAAGGAAAGGTACTTATCCACCACACGCAGCAGATACGAAGCAAGCTTATTATCCTCTCCCTTGTCCCTTCGACCCAAAAGTCGGTTCGCAATCCCACAGCCAGCAGCATGTAGTGTACTGCAGGGCCACGCCTCAATCTCCTGGATGTCGATTTAGTCGACACGTCGCCCCTCTCTGCCATCCACGAAGCCAGTCAGACTCATCCGCATGGCTGCTCTCGCCCACCTCGCCGTTTCGTCACTGCTGCTGCTGGCAGTGGTAGTAACAGTACTAGCAGCGCCCCCCCAATTCCACGGAGGTGAGCAGCGCCTGTCCGAGCCTCCTTCGCTGCCGCTCGCACGCTGCCGCCTCGCTCTCGGAACCCACACGCCACTCGCAAATGACTGAATTCGTGCTCCTGTCGCAATCCGAATCGCCTTAGAACGCGTGAATCCGCAAGTTTGTTGTTCGTATGATCGGATCTCTCCCCAATCCCCGTCCCACGCGCAGAGTCCCAGCTAGTGGCGCCCTTATCCCGCGACTCCGAATCCGATGCGGAAGCCGCCATGTATATCGTCCGCCTGCGCTCCGCGCCTCCCCTCGCCGCATACCGCGGCGATATCGCCGGCTACCCGGCCATCGCACCGGCCAGCCTTGACGGCGATGGCGATGGCGACGGCGAAAGTGAAGGGGCGCAACTCCCCGCAGGTTCTAGTTCAGAAAGAGAAGGGGATGTTGGGATGACTACTACTACTAGTAATAGTAGTGGCGCTGGTAACCTGAGCAGCTTCACGTTAGGGAGTTTCGCGCCTGCGCGGGCGCGGTTGAGCATGCGCGCGCCCCATGTGCGCGCGTACGCGGACTTGCTGGCGCGGATGCAGGCGGAAGTGGCGTCGGAAGTCGGTATCGCGCCAGACAGTATCGCGTACAGGTGAGAGACGGCTTGATCTCACAAACACAGCCCCGGGTGCACCAGCACTATCCTAAATCGACATTCAACTGTTTATCTCGAACACCCCAGCTACTTGGGTAGCATCACGCAAGTTGGTTATAACTCCCACTCGTGTCCGCGCCCCCATCAGTTACAAGCACGTGAGCAACGGATTCGCCGCGGTGCTCTCCCCCGCCCAACTCCGCCGCCTCGTCCGCCACTCCGCCGTCGCCTCCGCGCGTCCCAGCCGCCCCTTGCGCGCCGACACCACCGACTCCCCCGCCTTCCTGGGGCTCGTGGGACGCGCAGCCGCGGGCAGCGCCAGGGGCCGCGGAAGCGGGGGGATGTGGCGCACGTTTGGGGGGCAGCAGAGGGCGGGGGAAGGGGTGGTGGTGGGGGTGATAGACTCGGGGATCTGGCCGGAGCATCCGTCATTTAGTGATAGGAATTTCAGCGCCAGTCGGCCGAAAGGATGGTCGGGATCGTGCGATGCCACGTCAGATTTTAAGTGCAACAACAAGATCATCGGGGCGAGGATCTTCAACGCTGCATTCAGAGCGAAGCACGGGAAGCCGGATCTGGCCACAGATTGGCTGTCGCCGCGAGATGGATTCGGACACGGCACGTGGTGTGCAGGGTGAGTCAGCATTCCTCTTGCCCCCCTCCCGTTCCACGTTTACTCCCATTCCTCCTTTCTCTCTTGCGTCCCCCACGTTCCCCCGACCCCCACGTGCATTTCGTCCTCCTCCAAATACCCAGCAAACACCACCCCCTGCCGCATCCATCCCCCCCCCCCAACCCCTGCCCCCCTCTCTCTTCCCCTCCCTCTCCCCCCCTCAACACCCCCTCTCCTCCGCAGCGCAGCAGCGGGCAACAGCGGCGTGCCCGTGGCATGACCTGCAGCATCCCCTTTCACACCTGTTCAATGATTTCCTCCCCCCCCCCTCCCCCCCTCGCAGCGCAGCAGCGGGCAACAGCGGCGTGCCCATGGAGGGCGGCAGGGCGAGCGGCATGGCGCCAGCAGCGCGCATCGCGGCGTACAAGGTGTTCTGGTACGCGCAGGGCGCGCGCCCCGAGATGCGCGGGCTGGGGGGGGAGACGGCGGACCTGCTGGCGGCGGTGAACCAGGGAGTGGCGGACGGGGTACATGTGCTGTCGATCTCTCTCTCAGCGGACGATCCTGAGGCCACCTACTTTGACGACGTGCCCTATATGCATGCCAACCTGGTACGTGGGTTTGAGCCGGCTCCAAGGGCTTTGGGCGGCGAGGGAGCAGGCCGAAAACGAGCCTAGATCGATGCATGCATCCGATCGGACACATGCGCTGCTCCCTCTCGCACAACAGCACTTAAAGTTCGAGCCGTAAGGCCACCCTCGCTCTCCCACCCACCATCCCCACCTGGCCCTCTCGTTCCCACCCCTCCAGGCAGGCGTGACGGTGGTGATGTCAGCGGGCAACAACGGCGCTCCCCTGCACGGCCCCCTGGGCACGTACCGCAGCGTCACCAACTTCTCGCCCTTCTACCTCACCGTCGGGGCCAGGTGAGCCTCTCCCACTCCCCTCCGCCGGTACATCCTCCAGTCTTGCGCCTTCCACCTTACCTCCGAACCAGGTGGGGAGATCGGCCTTACAAGTTGTTGCTCCTCTCCCACCTCCCCATACCCTCCTCACCTTCCGCTTCCTCCCCTCCCTTCTCTCCCTAACTCCCAGCTCTCTTCTCCCAGGAGGCGTATCTCACACCTCCCCCCTTTCACATCAGGTCCCTCCTGCCCTGTGCCCTGCCATGACCCATTCACTCCTCATTGCCTTCCTCTCCCGTCCCCTCCCTACCCCCCGTGCCAGCTCCATTCTCCGGGGAGGTGTATCTCTCGCCTCCTCCCCTTCATCTGACAGCAGCAGCAGCTCTGCTGAGTCAACACAGTCGCCAGCCCCCGCAGCAGCGTCCCCATCCGCCGGCGCCGCTCCAGTCGTGGCGGACTTCTCGTCCTCAGGCCCCCTCCACCGCCCCTGGGCGCTCCCTCCCCCAGGCCACCCCTCCAACAGCGTCTTAAAGCCCGACATCATCGGCCCAGGGGTGGACCTCTGGGCCGCATGGGCAGGAACCGTTCCTGGAAAGGCAGGGGGGAGCGGAGGAGGGGGAGGGGGAGGGGAGGTATCGCAGCTGTCGGGGACGTCGATGGCGACGCCTCACCTGGCGGGCATTGCTGCTCTCATCATGCAGAAGCGCCCCTTGTGGAGCCCGGCGCAGGTCATGTCCGCCATCTGCACCACCGCCACAACCAGGGATACCAGGGGGGGACGTATCCTCAATGCTCGTGGTGCTGCCGCGTCTCCCTGGGAAATGGGTTCAGGGCACGTTCTTCCGCCGAGGGTTCTATATCCAGGGCTGACTTACGATGCCAGGGGATGGGCTTATGTTAATTTCCTGGCAGGGCAGGATTCTCGGGCAGCCAAAAAGGAGTTTCCATGGGCGAAGTTGTATCGCAGGAAGCCGTGGAATTTGAACCGACCAACGATTTCAGTGGCGAGGTTGAAAGGGACTGTGGAGGTGTTCAGAGTGGTTACGAGTGTTGCTGGTTCAACTTGCACATACAGAGCAAGAGTGGCGGAACCTCCAGGGATCACAGTTTCAGTTCAGCCTGACCATTTTACCATTTCTCCAAGGGAGAGATTCACATACCGCATGGTTTTGAATGTCACCAGACCATTCAAGGGCTTTCAGTTTGGAAGCATTTTGTGGGAGGATGGGAAAGGGCACGCAGTTAATTCTGCTATTGCTGTGCTTGCGGTCTCTAAAGGGAGGTAACACATACTAAATGGGTCTTGTGTATTATGCTTGTGCTATAGTTCTATCATGCTCTTCTTGTATAATGCTAAGTTTGCTAATACATGACATTTTCCATTATACCATTTTATTGCGGGAAAAGTGGATCCTCCAGACAGTCTGGCACGCACACCGTCCAGCAAATCAGGTCAGAGGAGGTCAACGGTAGCGATGGGATTTGAGGCTCCGAACAGTTTCCAAAACAAGCCAGGTCTTTGGAAATGCGGAAAAATAGAGATCTGATGTGGAGAAATCCTGGCCTCTATCTCAAAAGGTTCAGAGTGCGCTTCTGGTTGTGAGAGATTCTCGCTACTAGCGTGACGTGGCTCGACCTCCACGGCAACAGAACAAAACACAGTAGTGTGGCCCTTTTCCCGAGTGAGTCCACCGTGGCAGGCAAGGGGCTCAGCCACGTCTTCGCATGAATTTGATGGCCTTCTTTGGGCCTCAGGGATTTCCGAGCAGCACGATTCCAATTCGTAGTTGGCACATTGCTAATTCTCCGGCAATAAATTCAGAGCACTCCCATTCGTTTTCTAGCAAATTCAACTGAGTAATCAAGCCTTCCAGCCCTAACCAAGCAGCGAAGTTTATAGAATCAATCAGCGTTTTCGCGTCTTGTTCCTCGGGTCCTTGCCTCTCTCGTCACCGACCCGTCTGTTCCGGTTTCGCGTCTTGACGCTCTTGTCGCTGCGGTCGCTGACTTCGCCTCTACCCGCCGCCTTGACTACGCCACCGCTCTGGTCTCCGACCCTGCCTGTCCTCCGTCTGTCGGGGGTGCTCCTGCCCTCGGCAGTGACGTCCTGGAGGACCGTCAGTACGAGCTTGCTATCCTGTCCGAGGCTGCTCCCCATCTCTGTTCCATGCTGCTAGTCCCTAAGGGTGACCCAGACACTTTCGACATCCCGACCCTTCGCACTTACGCTGAGGCGGTCTCGGAACCTTGGGCCTCTCAGTGGATAAATGCCATGGAGCGGGAGATGGCATCTTGGAGATCCACCGGCACCTACGTCGACGCAGTTCCCCCACCCGGGGTGAACGTAGTCGATGGCCGCTGGCTCTTCAAGGTGAAGCGCCTTCTTAGAGAGCCACCTGTCTTCAAGGCGCGCTACGTGGCTAGAGGCTTCAGTCAGCGTGAGCGGGTGGACTTCTTTTAGACCTTCGCTCCGACCCCGAAGATGACTACTCTTCGGGTGCTGATACACGTAGCAGCTCAGCGTGACTATGAGCTTCACTCCCTCGACTTCTCCACTGCGTTTCTTTAGGGCAGTCTACACGAGCAGGTCTACCTGTGCCGCCCTCAGGGTTTTACTAGTACCTTCCCTCCTGGGACCAAGTGGCTCCTGCGGCGCCGCGTCTATGGCCTGCGGTAGGCTCCCCGTCAGTTGCATGACACGCTGCGTGCTATCCTTCCTGACCTGCAGTTCTTTCCGTCCTCTGCAGACCCCTCGCTCTTCGTTCGTGCGGGCCAGACTCCGTGCTACATCCTTGTTTACATAGATGACCTGGTCTTTGCCACTGCAGACTGGGACGCACTGGCCTCGGTGAAGGCAGAGCTATTGAAGAGACACACCTGCACTGACCTTGGAGAACTGCGCCACTACCTTGGCTTGCAGATCTCCAGAGACAGAGCAGCGTGCACCATCACCCTCACTCAGGCACACTTGGTGCGCCAGGTCTTTCAGAGGTTTGGCCTTCAGTCTCCTCTGCACAGCCCACCCCTCTGCATGTAGACCACAGGCTCTCTGCTCCAGTTTCTGAGGAGTCAGTAGAGCCCAGTGGCCCTTACGCAGAGCTGGTGGGTTGCCTCATGTACCTGATGACTTGCACTCGCCCAGATCTCGCATACCCTCTCAGCATCTTGGCTCGCTTTGTGGCCACAGGCAGACACCGACCTCAGCACTGGTCTGCCGCTAAGAGGGTTTTGCGTTATCTTGTAAGTACATCGGGCATGGGGTTAGTGCTAGGAGGGCGCAGGCTAGTGGTCCGTACTGGGCACACAGACGCTTCGTGGGCAGACGACGCCGAGACCCTTAGGTCCTCGCAGGGCTACTGCTTTAGCCATGGTTCAGGTGTTGCCTCGTAGAGAGCTACTCGCTCCTCGTCTATTGCCCAGTCCAGCTGTGAGGCCGAGATCTACGCCGGTGCCATGGCGCTACGGGAGCTCCACTGGCTGACCTTCTTGCTCACTGACTTAGGTGAGCGGCCTAGCTCTGCCCCGGTCCTGTACGCTGACAACAGGGCCATGATCCTCCTGTGTCAGGAGCCGCGACTTGAGGGCAGAGCGAAGTACATCCAGCTACGGTACTTCCTCCCGCGTGAGCTACAGCAGCGCCGCCAGGCTCGCGTAGTACACTTGGCCTCCGGTGCCAATACAGCTGATATCTTTACGAAGGCGCTTGCGCCTAAAGATCATCAGCGGCACTGTGTACAGCTAGGTCTTGTTCCTGTAGCCTCTCAATTACTAGGGCCTTGACTGTGCACAGACCTTTTATATATTTTATTTTGACTGGCCTTGTGGCCTCTTCCAGTGGCTGGACTAGTAGTGCCACCCTTGTTTTGCTTTTGGCTTGGTCTGTACTCGTTTGACTAGTCTTTAGACCCTTGCCTCAGAGGTCGGACTAGTAGTGCCACCCTGAGCTGCTCGTTCTCTCGTTAGGAACTGCTCCTATACAGTGTAGGGGGTGTGTCAAATATATATTGTTATGTTTGTATAGACTGTATAGGTTTGTGTCTTAGAGGGTACAGCTTCTAGGTTATATTCCCTTGTACTCTCCCATTCTACAATCATTCTCTCAGTCTAACACGTTTCACTCTCTTCTAGTTCTTTCGCCTTTACTTTCAGGAATGGCTTCCTCCCTCGTCGCTCGTCAGGCCATCGCCGCCCTCTCCGTCCGCAGCGCCGTCAAGGGCGCCGCCCTATCGACCACCCGTCTCACCGCAGCCCCAGTCGCTCCCCGCGGCTTCGGCGTTTCCGCCCTTCTAAACTCTAGCAAGGCCGCCGTCCCCGCCAAGAAGCAACTGCGCACCGAGGACGGCATTTACGACACGTCGGGAGGCTTCGGCTTCACGAAGGCCAACAAGCTCTTCCTCGGCCGCGTCGCGATGCTCGGCTTCGCCGCGTCGTTCCTAGGGGAGGCGCTAAACTGGCCAGGGCATTCTCTCTCAGCTCAACCTCGAAACCGGCATCCCCGTCACGGAGGCCGAGCCGCTCCTCCTCTTCTTCATCGCATTCACCGTGCTCGGCGCGATCGGCGGGCTCGGTGATCGCGGGCGATTCGTGGACAACGACCCTGTAGGTCCCCCTGTGAAGCCCGGGAGCGTCAAGGCTGCCTTGGGTCTGCAGGAGGAGGGGCCGCTGTTCGGATTCACCAAGGCGAATGAGCTCTTCGTGGGGAGCATGGCACAATTAGGTTTGCGGCGTCGCTGATTGGCGAGGTGGTGACGGGGCGAGGTGCTTTGGCGCAGCTGAACATCGAGACAGGGCTGCCAGTTTAGGAGCTGGAGCCGCTGCTGCTCGCCAGCATCGCTTTCTTCTTTGTCGCGGCTATTAACCCCGGTACTGGTAAGTTCATTAACGACGAAGAGTGGAGTTTTGTGATTCCTTCTTTTATACATATGTATATACATGCGTTTATTACCACATGGAAAATGCGGCTTTCAAACATTATCTTCGTCTTCTCCTGCATCCCAAGTGAAAGAACCGATGTCTCCCTCATTCCCAGCGTGCTTACCACCCTCCATGTGGCAATTGTTATGAATAAACTTACGCCAACAGTAAAGCTCTGATTAACCCCTGCACGCGCTTGTTTGACTGAGCACGTCCTAATCCTATCTGCACTTGTATTACCATATCACCATCATGAAAGGGCTATTTGCGCCACTGCAGAGTTGGGATGAAGGAAGGTGAAAGGTTGTTCAGAAACACAATATATTCACAAAATAATGAATCCCATGAGAATACTATACAGCATGGATGATGCGTGTAACTAGCGCTAGTGGGGAGTACACCCGCGGCAGCAACATCCAACAAACACCGATGCCCCACTGCCTCCCCCCTCTCCAATAGCCACAGGGTAGTGAAACAACACGAACAACACACACAAGAAACACGAGACAGTGAAGCAACCATGGTAGCAGCAAGGCTATGATCCGGCGCTCTCCTCTGGCGGAAGCATGCAGAACAGCGGCATGCCCCACCGCCGCCCTCACGCCTGCCAGCCACTAGCTACTGGCAGTGTGGGACTGTGAGGCAACAGTTAAAGCAGCGGTCAGGCGCTCTGCTCTGGCGGCAGCACGCGGAAGAGAGGCATGCCGTCAGCCACCTGCTGCCCCACCGCCACTCTCACGTCTGCTAGCGTGCCCGACACCCGGGCCTTCACTGAATGCTGCTCGCTCGGTGAAGCCATGGGGGAGAATGGGGGTAGGGAAGAGACGAGGGGAGAGGATAACATAGGTGCTCCTAGGTGCCACCTCACTCCCTACCCCACTCCCCTACACTCCTCCAATTGCCACAGTCTTTAAGGAATCCCATGGGCACGGTGATGGGGATGGTGATGGTGATTGTGATGGTGATGGTGATGGGGATGGGGATGGGGATGGGGATGATGATGGGGATGGGGATGGGGATGGGGATGGGGACAGCGATGTTAGAAAGGGCAGAGTGAGACAGACATAGGAGGAGTAAAGGTTGCGAGGAGAGTTGGTGTACATGGGTGTATCGCACAGATCTGTGTGTAATGAGTCGATTTTTTAGTCGACTCAAAAAAAGAGTTGGTGTACATGGGTGTATCGCACAGATCTAGCTGTGGGAGTCCGCTGTTACTGTCCTGGCAAGACGAGGTGGTCCACATGGTCAAGAAGTATGCAAGGAAGCGCCTCGCCTGCAAGGAAGCCCCTCACCTGCAAGGAAGCGCCTCACCTCCATCTTCATCGACTCTAGAATGACCACCACGTCCCAATTAGTGCAACATGTGTCAATCGCAATGTGGCTAATGTAAAACCAGCAAGAGCTTATTGAGAAAGCCCCACCTCCCAAGGAAGCGCCCCACCTCCCAAGGAAGCGCCCCACCTCCCAAGGAAGCGCCCCACCTCCCAAGGAAGCGTCCCACCTCCCAAGGAAGCGCCTCACCTCCCAAGGAAGCGTCCCACCTCCCAAGGAAGCGCCTCACCTCCCAAGGAAGCGCCTCACCTCCCAAGGAAGCGCCTCACCTCCCAAGGAAGCGCCTCACCTCCCAAGGAAGCGCCTCACCTCCCAAGGAAGCGCCTCACCTGCAAGGAAGCGCCTCACCTCCATCTTCATCGACTCTAGAATGACCACCACGTCCCAATTAGTGCAACACGTGTCAATCGCAATGTGGCTAATGTAAAACCAGCAAGAGCTTATTGAGAAAGCCCCACCTCCCAAGGAAGCGCCCCACCTCCCAAGGAAGCGCCCCACCTCCCAAGGAAGCGCCCCACCTCCCAAGAAAGCGTCCCACCTCCCAAGGAAGCGCCTCACCTCCCAAGGAAGCGCCTCACCTCCCAAGGAAGCGCCTCACCTCCCAAGGAAGCGCCTCACCTCCCAAGGAAGCGCCTCACCTCCATCTTCATCGACTCGAGAATGACCACCACGTCCCCCTTGCTCACAGCTGCGCCCTCCCCACATGCCACCCGCACCACGCGCCCCGCCATCGGCGCCACCACCACGCCCCGCCCATGCCCATGCCCATGCCCATGCCCACTCCCATGGTGTTGGCTGGGAGCATGCCCATGCCCATGGGCATGATGATCGTCGTCATCATCGTGGTCGTCCAGGGCGAAGGGCGAGATGGAGGGGCATGCGGTGGAGAACTGCTGGTGGCAGCCGTCCACCCACACGTGCGTCTCAATGCTGTCGGGCTGGGGGGTGGGTGGGAGGGTGGGAGGTGGGGGGGAGGTGGAATAAGGGCGGGGAGATAAAGCGCAACTGCTGGTGACAGCCGCCCACCCTACGTGCGTCTCATCTCAATGCCGTCGGGCTGGTGGGTGCATGGCGAGGGGTGGATGGGGATAGGGATGGTGTGGTAAAGGGAAGGGAATGGGGCGGGGCGGAGAAGGAGGGGGGGTTGTCTTTTCCCCGACTTCTTTTTTTCCCCGACTTCTTTTTTTTCCCGACGTACTTTTTTTCTCCACCCTTTCGCCCCACACATACCGCTCCATCCCCTCCTGCCCTCACCATCGTGCGTTGGAAGAACGACACTCGGCTCCTCCTGCCATGCCATGCCACCATGCTCACTCCCCACCCCATCATCCCCTCAACCCATCATCTTACCACCCCCCTCACCCCCTCAACCCCTCACCCCCTCTCCTCACCATCGCATGCTGGAAGAACGACACTCGGCTCCTCTCCCCCCCCACCTCCACCTCCACCCGCCGCCCCTCCCCATCCACCACCCAACCAGACGCTGCCACGTGTCTCCCATCCGCCAGTCCAACAGTGAAGCTCCCATCTCTCTCGTACCTCACCCACCCCTCTATCCCCTCCCTCCTGCCTCCTCCCTCTCCTCTCCCCTCCTCTTCCCCCCCTTCCTCCGCCCCTTCCCCTCTTCCCCCTCTTCACCCTCCCCATCCGCGCCAGACCCTTCCCCCAGGCAGGGAGAGAGGGCAAAGGGGCGCGAGTAGAGGTAGTTGGGGCGGAAGCCAGAGGCGGAGGACCAAGGGGAAGGGGAAGGGGAAGGGGAAGGGGGGGACGAGGGGGAGGACAACAAGCAGTCCATTTGCTCCCCCCATCGCTCCACCGCACACTGGCACACCATAGCCGCCACCGCTGCCCCCTCCACACCGCCTAGAGGCGCTGCCACACTCCTTGCTTCCTCCCCTCCTGCCATTCTACCCCCTCCTCCTGTTTCTGCTGCTGCTGCTGCTGCTGCTGCTCCTCCTGCTAATCCAACCCCCCCTCTTCCTGCTGACGCCAGCGGTGATGTCATCAGCTCGTCGTAGTGCCGCTGCACGAAGTGCGTGTCCACGTCAGCATGCTCGAATCCCGCATGGCAGGCGACAGCCTGGAGCAGCGCCAGGTTGGTGGGCACGCCCGCCACCTCATACTGCCCCAGGGATTGCCGCAGGCGCTGCAGCGCCTCGCTCCTATTGGGTGCTGACACCACCAGCTTGGCTATCATTGGGTCGTAGAAGGTGCTGACGTCATCGCCCTCCTGCACTCCTGTCTCCACTCGGACTGAGAGGGGGGGTGAGAAGAGAGAAGGAGTAAGGGAAAGTGGATTAGGAGGGTTTGGCATTTCTGACCAATAAAGCTCATCCCATCAGAACAGATCACACACACGCCCACTACAAGCACACCCATGACAGCCCCTCACCACGGTCAAAGGGTTCCCCCACTACAAGCACACTCATCACAAACCCCCTCACCACAGTCAGACGGTTCCCCCCACTACAAGAACACTCATCACAAACCCCCTCACCACAGGCAGAGGGTTCCCCCCACTACAAGCACACTCATCACAAACCCCCTCACCACAGGCAGAGGGTTCCCCCCACTACAAGAACACTCATCACAAACCCCCTCACCACAGGCAGTGGGTTCCCCCCACTACAAGCACACTCATCACAAACCCCCTCACAACAGGCAGAGGATTCCCCCCACTACAAGCACACTCATCACCAACCCCCTCACCACAGGCAGAGGGTTCCGGTGTCCGCAGGTACAGCAGCGGCCCCGCAGCGGGCAGGAAGCCTCTGGGAACGTTCTCAGCATAGACCCGCGCCTCAAAGGCGTGGCCGGTCAGGCGCACGTCTTCTTGATTCAGCGGCAGCGGCTCCCCCCGGGCCACGCGCACCTGCCACTCCACTAGATCCTGCCCGGTCACCATCTCCGTTACAGGGTGCTCCACCTGATTGACAGGGGGAGATGGGGAAGGGGGGAAGAAAGAGGGGTCGAGAGCGGTTCCTAGGGGGCAGTGGCTCCTCCTCCCGTGCCTCAACGGCGGCGGCATGCCCCAGTAGCCTCACACCCCCATCCCCTGAGTTAGCGGCAGGGCTCCCCCCGTGCCACGCGCACCTGCCACTCTATCTGGTCTGAAAGGGATGAGAGGGAAGGGGGGGGAGTGGGCGTGAGGGGAGAGGGAGAGAGCGACACGGACAGTGAACTTTCGCAACGCAAGGGAAATCACTGGCAGGTTTGCTCCTGTTGGATGATGAGACAACAGCAGCAGAGCAGACAACAGCCGCGCACCTGGAGCCGAGTGTTCATCTCCATAAAGAAGAACTCGTTACTGTCACAGTCCAGGATGAACTCCACCGTGCCCGCCCCCACGTACCCCACCGCCTGCACACATGCACACGTGGCAGCAGAGGAGGGTGGCGTCAGCAGAGGGTAGTGACGTCAGCGAGTCAGAGTGCCATCAGCAGGGAATAAGCACAAGCACAGGGATGAACGTGCAAGAACCTCTCCACCCCTCTCCACCCCTCTCCACCTCTGTGTACCGCACCCCCATGCTCTCTCGCACCCTGTCAATGCCCTCCAAACTTCCCTGAGCCACCCACTCGGAAGCCACTTCTTTATCCCCAACCCCTAAGCCCAATCTCGCCTCTTCTCCCCTACTCTCACCCAACCCATCCCATGCCTCCCACTCCTCTCCCCCCCCTTGCCCGTGAGATCTCTAGAGACCCCTATCCTTTCCCAACCTCCTACCCCCTCTCCCACTACCCCGCCTCCTTGCCCCACCTTGGCAGCGTCGACAGCAGCGGCACAGATCTGGCGCCTGAACTCCGGGGATATGCCGGGCTGGAGGGGAGGGGAGGGTGTGGGAGGGGTGTAGGAGGAGGGGTTTGGGGCGTTAAGGTCAACTCAACTCAACTCAAACACAGCGTCGACAGCAGCGGCGCAGATCTGGCGCCTGAAATCGGGGGATATGCCGGGCTGGAGGGGAGGGTGTAAGGGAGGGAGGGGGAAGGCGGAGGGGGTAATGGGGAAAGGCCGGGAGGGGGGAAGGGGGAAGGGAAGGGGGAAGGGGGGAAGGGGGAAGGGGGGAAGGGGGAAGGGGGGAAGGGGGAAAGGGGGAAGTGGGGGAAAGGGAGGGCAGGGGCGTTGTGGTCAGCTCACCGAAAAGGACTGGAGAGGGTACATCCGGGTGGGTGGGAAGTGGGCATGGAGGAAGATGTGTGACAAGATCGAAGGGCGATAGCGATAGAAACGAGGGGGCGGGGGTGCGGGGGGGGCGAGGGGAGGGGGTGCTTACAGCGGGCGCCTCTTCGATGATCTTCTGGTGCCTGCGCTGCACGCTGCAGTCCCTCTCAAAAAGGTGCACTGCATTGCCGTGCTTGTCGGCAAACACCTGCAGGGTAGGGGAAGGGAGAGGAAGGAAGGGGGAGAGGGATATGTCACGCTGGCACAAGGATCACTTGACACGCTGCAAACCCTCTCGAAAAGGTGATTCGTGAGAAATCTAAAAAATCATCGAGAATTCTCAAAAGTCGCTGCAAACCCTCTCGAAAACGTGCACTGCACTGCCATGCTTGTCGGCAAACACCTGCAGGGGAAGGAAGGGGGTGCGAGGGAAGGGTGAAGGATCACCTGAAGCTGCAGCAGCTTCGCACGGACTGCAGGCGCCCTCACGCCTCACGTGGAGGAAGCCAAGTGGGCCGTACATGGCGGCCAACAACAAGCCGTTGAACGGCTTCACCACTGCCCCAAGCACATCTGGTGCATACCACAAGACACCTTTCACTGCACGTGCACTTCGATGTGCCTGGGCCTCTGAATGCATCTCTCCAGCAGCTTTTGAGTCGACTCAAAAGCAGACTTCGATCTGTCTGGCCTCTGAATGCATCTCTCCAGCACCCTCCCCTTGCGCCCTCCCTTTGCACACTCCCCTTGCGCCCTCCCTTTGCACACTCCCCTTGCGCCCTCCCTTTGCACACTCCCCTTGCGCCCTCGCTTTGCACATCCTGCGTGCCCTCTCATTTGAATCTCCCTACCTGCACTTCGATGTGCCTGGGCCGCTGAATGTATCTCTCCAGCAGCACCCGCCCGTTGCCAAACGCCGCTGCTGCCTCCCTCGCTGCACCCGCCAGGCTGGCGAGGAAGTCTTGAGGACGACGCACTATGCGCATGCCCTGATGGGGGGGAGAGGGGGGAGCGGAGGGGGGAAAGGGGCAGCGTTGGGGGCAGTGCAGGGGGAGGGAGGGGCGCTGCTGGTGCCTCCCTCGCTGCGCTGGCCAGTCTGGGGGGTAGGTCCTGTGCGTTATGCACGATTTTTGAGGCGCCTCAAAAGGAGTCTATTTTTGAGGCGCCTCAAAAATAGACTCCTCACGCTGGGGGGTAGGTCCTGTGCGTTATGCACGATTTTTGAGGCGCCTCAAAAGGAGTCTATTTTTGAGGCGCCTCAAAAATAGACTCCTCACGCTGGGGGGTAGGTCCTGTGCGTTATGCACGATTTTTGAGGCGCCTCAAAAGGAGTCTATTTTTGAGGCGCCTCAAAAATAGACTCCTCACGCTGGGGGGTAGGTCCTGTGCGTTATGCACGATTTTTGAGGCGCCTCAAAAGGAGTCTATTTTTGAGGCGCCTCAAAAATAGACTCCTCGGTCTGGGGGGTAGGTCCTGTGCGTTATGCACGATTTTTGAGGCGCCTCAAAAGGAGTCTATTTTTGAGGCGCCTCAAAAATAGACTCCTCACGCTGGGGGGTAGGTCCTGTGCGTTATGCACGATTTTTGAGGCGCCTCAAAAGGAGTCTATTTTTGAGGCGCCTCAAAAGGAGTCTATTTTTGAGGCGCCTCAAAAATAGACTCCTCACGCTGGGGGGTAGGTCCTGTGCGTTATGCACGATTTTTGAGGCGCCTCAAAAGGAGTCTATTTTTGAGGCGCCTCAAAAATAGACTCCTCACGCTGGGGGGTAGGTCCTGTGCGTTATGCACGATTTTTGAGGCGCCTCAAAAGGAGTCTATTTTTGAGGCGCCTCAAAAATAGACTCCTCACGCTGGGGGGTAGGTCCTGTGCGTTATGCACGATTTTTGAGGCGCCTCAAAAGGAGTCTATTTTTGAGGCGCCTCAAAAATAGACTCCTCACGCTGGGGGTAGGTCCTGTGCGTTATGCACGATTTTTGAGGCGCCTCAAAAGGAGTCTATTTTTGAGGCGCCTCAAAAATAGACTCCTCACGCTGGGGGGTAGGTCCTGTGCGTTATGCACGATTTTTGAGGCGCCTCAAAAGGAGTCTATTTTTGAGGCGCCTCAAAAATAGACTCCTCACGCTGGGGGTAGGTCCTGTGCGTTATGCACGATTTTTGAGGCGCCTCAAAAGGAGTCTATTTTTGAGGCGCCTCAAAAATAGACTCCTCACGCTGGGGGGTAGGTCCTGTGCGTTATGCACGATTTTTGAGGCGCCTCAAAAGGAGTCTATTTTTGAGGCGCCTCAAAAATAGACTCCTCACGCTGGGGGTAGGTCCTGTGCGTTATGCACGATTTTTGAGGCGCCTCAAAAGGAGTCTATTTTTGAGGCGCCTCAAAAATAGACTCCTCACGCTGGGGGGTAGGTCCTGTGCGTTATGCACGATTTTTGAGGCGCCTCAAAAGGAGTCTATTTTTGAGGCGCCTCAAAAATAGACTCCTCACGCTGGGGGGTAGGTCCTGTGCGTTATGCACGATTTTTGAGGCGCCTCAAAAGGAGTCTATTTTTGAGGCGCCTCAAAAATAGACTCCTCCGCTGGGGGGTAGGTCCTGTGCGTTATGCACGATTTTTGAGGCGCCTCAAAAGGAGTCTATTTTTGAGGCGCCTCAAAAATAGACTCCTCACGCTGGGGGGTAGGTCCTGTGCGTTATGCACGATTTTTGAGGCGCCTCAAAAGGAGTCTATTTTTGAGGCGCCTCAAAAATAGACTCCTCACGCTGGGGGGTAGGTCCTGTGCGTTATGCACGATTTTTGAGGCGCCTCAAAAGGAGTCTATTTTTGAGGCGCCTCAAAAATAGACTCCTCACGCTGGGGGGTAGGTCCTGTGCGTTATGCACGATTTTTGAGGCGCCTCAAAAGGAGTCTATTTTTGAGGCGCCTCAAAAATAGACTCCTCACGCTGGGGGGTAGGTCCTGTGCGTTATGCACGATTTTTGAGGCGCCTCAAAAGGAGTCTATTTTTGAGGCGCCTCAAAAATAGACTCCTCACGCTGGGGGGTAGGTCCTGTGCGTTATGCACGATTTTTGAGGCGCCTCAAAAGGAGTCTATTTTTGAGGCGCCTCAAAAATAGACTCCTCACGCTGGGGGTAGGTCCTGTGCGTTATGCACGATTTTTGAGGCGCCTCAAAAGGAGTCTATTTTTGAGGCGCCTCAAAAATAGACTCCTCACGCTGGGGGGTAGGTCCTGTGCGTTATGCACGATTTTTGAGGCGCCTCAAAAGGAGTCTATTTTTGAGGCGCCTCAAAAATAGACTCCTCACGCTGGGGGGTAGGTCCTGTGCGTTATGCACGATTTTTGAGGCGCCTCAAAAGGAGTCTATTTTTGAGGCGCCTCAAAAATAGACTCCTCACGCTGGGGGGTAGGTCCTGTGCGTTATGCACGATTTTTGAGGCGCCTCAAAAGGAGTCTATTTTTGAGGCGCCTCAAAAATAGACTCCTCACGCTGGGGGGTAGGTCCTGTGCGTTATGCACGATTTTTGAGGCGCCTCAAAAGGAGTCTATTTTTGAGGCGCCTCAAAAATAGACTCCTCACGCTGGGGGGTAGGTCCTGTGCGTTATGCACGATTTTTGAGGCGCCTCAAAAGGAGTCTATTTTTGAGGCGCCTCAAAAATAGACTCCTCACGCTGGGGGGTAGGTCCTGTGCGTTATGCACGATTTTTGAGGCGCCTCAAAAGGAGTCTATTTTTGAGGCGCCTCAAAAATAGACTCCTCACGCTGGGGGGTAGGTCCTGTGCGTTATGCACGATTTTTGAGGCGCCTCAAAAGGAGTCTATTTTTGAGGCGCCTCAAAAATAGACTCCTCCGTCTGGGGGGTAGGTCCTGTGCGTTATGCACGATTTTTGAGGCGCCTCAAAAGGAGTCTATTTTTGAGGCGCCTCAAAAATAGACTCCTCACGCTGGGGGGTAGGTCCTGTGCGTTATGCACGATTTTTGAGGCGCCTCAAAAGGAGTCTATTTTTGAGGCGCCTCAAAAATAGACTCCTCACGCTGGGGGGTAGGTCCTGTGCGTTATGCACGATTTTTGAGGCGCCTCAAAAGGAGTCTATTTTTGAGGCGCCTCAAAAATAGACTCCTCACGCTGGGGGGTAGGTCCTGTGCGTTATGCACGATTTTTGAGGCGCCTCAAAAGGAGTCTATTTTTGAGGCGCCTCAAAAATAGACTCCTCACGCTGGGGGGTAGGTCCTGTGCGTTATGCACGATTTTTGAGGCGCCTCAAAAGGAGTCTATTTTTGAGGCGCCTCAAAAATAGACTCCTCACGCTGGGGGGTAGGTCCTGTGCGTTATGCACGATTTTTGAGGCGCCTCAAAAGGAGTCTATTTTTGAGGCGCCTCAAAAATAGACTCCTCAGTCTGGGGGGTAGGTCCTGTGCGTTATGCACGATTTTTGAGGCGCCTCAAAAGGAGTCTATTTTTGAGGCGCCTCAAAAATAGACTCCTCAGTCTGGGGGGTAGGTCCTGTGCGTTATGCACGATTTTTGAGGCGCCTCAAAAGGAGTCTATTTTTGAGGCGCCTCAAAAATAGACTCCTCACGCTGGGGGGTAGGTCCTGTGCGTTATGCACGATTTTTGAGGCGCCTCAAAAGGAGTCTATTTTTGAGGCGCCTCAAAAATAGACTCCTCACGCTGGGGGGTAGGTCCTGTGCGTTATGCACGATTTTTGAGGCGCCTCAAAAGGAGTCTATTTTTGAGGCGCCTCAAAATAGACTCCTCAGCTGGGGGTAGGTCCTGTGCGTTATGCACGATTTTTGAGGCGCCTCAAAAGGAGTCTATTTTTGAGGCGCCTCAAAAATAGACTCCTCACGCTGGGGGGTAGGTCCTGTGCGTTATGCACGATTTTTGAGGCGCCTCAAAAGGAGTCTATTTTTGAGGCGCCTCAAAAATAGACTCCTCACGCTGGGGGGTAGGTCCTGTGCGTTATGCACGATTTTTGAGGCGCCTCAAAAGGAGTCTATTTTTGAGGCGCCTCAAAAATAGACTCCTCAGTCTGGGGGGTAGGTCCTGTGCGTTATGCACGATTTTTGAGGCGCCTCAAAAGGAGTCTATTTTTGAGGCGCCTCAAAAATAGACTCCTCACGCTGGGGGGTAGGTCCTGTGCGTTATGCACGATTTTTGAGGCGCCTCAAAAGGAGTCTATTTTTGAGGCGCCTCAAAAATAGACTCCTCAGTCTGGGGGGTAGGTCCTGTGCGTTATGCACGATTTTTGAGGCGCCTCAAAAGGAGTCTATTTTTTGAGGCGCCTCAAAAATAGACTCCTCACGCTGGGGGGTAGGTCCTGTGCGTTATGCACGATTTTTGAGGCGCCTCAAAAGGAGTCTATTTTTGAGGCGCCTCAAAAATAGACTCCTCACGCTGGGGGGTAGGTCCTGTGCGTTATGCACGATTTTTGAGGCGCCTCAAAAGGAGTCTATTTTTGAGGCGCCTCAAAAATAGACTCCTCAGTCTGGGGGGTAGGTCCTGTGCGTTATGCACGATTTTTGAGGCGCCTCAAAAGGAGTCTATTTTTGAGGCGCCTCAAAAATAGACTCCTCACGCTGGGGGGTAGGTCCTGTGCGTTATGCACGATTTTTGAGGCGCCTCAAAAGGAGTCTATTTTTGAGGCGCCTCAAAAATAGACTCCTCAGTCTGGGGGGTAGGTCCTGTGCGTTATGCACGATTTTTGAGGCGCCTCAAAAGGAGTCTATTTTTGAGGCGCCTCAAAAATAGACTCCTCACGCTGGGGGGTAGGTCCTGTGCGTTATGCACGATTTTTGAGGCGCCTCAAAAGGAGTCTATTTTTGAGGCGCCTCAAAAATAGACTCCTCACGCTGGGGGGTAGGTCCTGTGCGTTATGCACGATTTTTGAGGCGCCTCAAAAGGAGTCTATTTTTGAGGCGCCTCAAAAATAGACTCCTCAGTCTGGGGGGTAGGTCCTGTGCGTTATGCACGATTTTTGAGGCGCCTCAAAAGGAGTCTATTTTTGAGGCGCCTCAAAAATAGACTCCTCACGCTGGGGGGTAGGTCCTGTGCGTTATGCACGATTTTTGAGGCGCCTCAAAAGGAGTCTATTTTTGAGGCGCCTCAAAATAGACTCCTCACGCTGGGGGGTAGGTCCTGTGCGTTATGCACGATTTTTGAGGCGCCTCAAAAGGAGTCTATTTTTGAGGCGCCTCAAAAATAGACTCCTCAGTCTGGGGGGTAGGTCCTGTGCGTTATGCACGATTTTTGAGGCGCCTCAAAAGGAGTCTATTTTTGAGGCGCCTCAAAAATAGACTCCTCAGTCTGGGGGGTAGGTCCTGTGCGTTATGCACGATTTTTGAGGCGCCTCAAAAGGAGTCTATTTTTGAGGCGCCTCAAAAATAGACTCCTCACGCTGGGGGGTAGGTCCTGTGCGTTATGCACGATTTTTGAGGCGCCTCAAAAGGAGTCTATTTTTGAGGCGCCTCAAAAATAGACTCCTCACGCTGGGGGGTAGGTCCTGTGCGTTATGCACGATTTTTGAGGCGCCTCAAAAGGAGTCTATTTTTGAGGCGCCTCAAAAATAGACTCCTCGGTCTGGGGGGTAGGTCCTGTGCGTTATGCACGATTTTTGAGGCGCCTCAAAAGGAGTCTATTTTTGAGGCGCCTCAAAAATAGACTCCTCACGCTGGGGGGTAGGTCCTGTGCGTTATGCACGATTTTTGAGGCGCCTCAAAAGGAGTCTATTTTTGAGGCGCCTCAAAAATAGACTCCTCAGTCTGGGGGGTAGGTCCTGTGCGTTATGCACGATTTTTGAGGCGCCTCAAAAGGAGTCTATTTTTGAGGCGCCTCAAAAATAGACTCCTCACGCTGGGGGGTAGGTCCTGTGCGTTATGCACGATTTTTGAGGCGCCTCAAAAGGAGTCTATTTTTGAGGCGCCTCAAAAATAGACTCCTCACGCTGGGGGGTAGGTCCTGTGCGTTATGCACGATTTTTGAGGCGCCTCAAAAGGAGTCTATTTTTGAGGCGCCTCAAAAATAGACTCCTCAGTCTGGGGGGTAGGTCCTGTGCGTTATGCACGATTTTTGAGGCGCCTCAAAAGGAGTCTATTTTTGAGGCGCCTCAAAAATAGACTCCTCACGCTGGGGGGTAGGTCCTGTGCGTTATGCACGATTTTTGAGGCGCCTCAAAAGGAGTCTATTTTTGAGGCGCCTCAAAAATAGACTCCTCACGCTGGGGGGTAGGTCCTGTGCGTTATGCACGAAGCGCATTCCCTGAGGGGGAGGGGGGGCGGAGGAGAGCGGACCAGGGCGAAATAGGGGGCGAGGGGAGGGGATACTAGGGCAGGGCAGAGGGGGAAATGAGGAGGAGGGGGAGGAGGGGGAGGAGGGGGAGGAGGGGGAGGAGGGAAACATTGGTTTTGAGGTGCCTCAAAACTGGATACTAGGGCAGGGCAAAGGGGAAATGAGGAGGAGGGGGAGGAGGGAAACACTGGTTAGCGGAGAGGCCCCTTCCAAGACAGACTCCATTCATATCCAACAAACTCCTCCCACTCACACTCCCTTTCACCCATCCCCACACTCCCCCCCTCCAACCCCTCTCCACCCCCCCACCCCCCCCCCCACCCCCACCCCCCCCTCCCACACACAGAGACACCCACCACCCACCACTTCCCCCCCCCAACCCTGCGTGGCTTTAATGGGTGTCGGGTACCCGATACTCCGCCGCGCCTCTTCCTCCACGGCAACAACAGCACTCCCTCTCTTCCACTCACGCACAACCCCCCCCCCCCCCCCCCCCCCCCACACCCCCCCCGCCACACACCCACCCACACACCCACCCACTCACCCACCCACCTTCCCCCCGCCCCCCTGAGTGGCCTTGATGAGAATCGGGTACCCGATGCGCCGCGCCTCCTCCTCCAGGAACCCCTCTGATTGGTCCTCGCCATGGTACCCTGGGACCACCGGCACCCCTGCTGACGTCATCAGCTCCTTGGCGGCGCTGGTTGGGGGGGAGGGAGGAGATAGTGTAGTCCGGGGAGGGGGGAGGTGGGTGTGATGTGAGAAGGGGGTATGTTGATGTGATGTGAGAAAGGGAGGGCGAGGGGATAGAGGAGAGGGAGGAGGGGGGAAAGAGGGGCTGTTGCTGCTGTGAGAGTAGGGAGTGGAGGAAAAGGAGAAGGGGGCAGAGTCAAGAGAAGGGCGAGAATGGAGAGCGTCTACTTAGTCCGGCTACTTAGTCTGGCTCCTTAGTACAGTCACATCATACACCCCTTCACTACAATCACCTCTTGTCCCCCATGGCCTGTATGGCGCTGGGCGGAGGCCCAATGAACTCCACGCCCCGCTGCTGGCACGCCGCAGCAAAGGCAGCGTTCTCCGAGAGAAAGCCGTACCCCGGGTGGATGGCCTGGGGGGGGGAGGGTTGGGTGGGGGGGAGATGGGGGGTAGGTTTTGAAAGAGGGGGGAAAGGGGGTGGGCACGGATGTGTCAAAGGCGGCGTTCTCCGAGAGAAAGCCGTACCCGGGGTGGATGGCCTTGGGGAGAATGGGGGGGGTGGATGGGGGGAGGAGAAGGGGGATTGGGGGAGGAGAAGGGGGATGGGGGGAGGAGAAGGGGGATGGGGGGAGGAGAAGAGGGATGGGGGGAGGAGAAGGGGGATGGGGGGAGGAGAAGGGGGATGGGGGGAGGAGGTGCATGGGGAGGGGAGGGGAAGGGGGGTAAGGCATGTGTCACACAGAGCAGAAAAGGGAGCTTACCCCCCACTTTCCCCGCTTCCCCTATGTATCCCCCTTCCCCAAGCTCCCCGCCCCAACCTCCCCCTCCCCCAATTTTCCCCCCGTCTCACCTGCGCCCCGCATCTCTCCGCGATGTCCAGAATCGCGTCGCCCCGCAGGTAGCTCTCCCGCGCCGCGGCGGGCCCAACGCGGAACGCCACGTCAGCAGAGCGCACGTGGAGCGCGTCGCGGTCCGCGTCGCTGTAGACGGCTACTGAGCGGATCGCGAGGCGCTTCAAGGTGCGCATCACGCGGCACGCGATCTCGCCGCGATTCGCCACGAGGACAGTCGAGATGGGGACGAGGGCGGGGGTAGCGGCGGAAGCGGCGGAGGCGGCGGAATTGGCGGAAGCAGTGGAGACGGATAAGGAAATGGCGGAAGAGGCGGCGGCTAAGTATGAGGCGGCGGGGAGCGAGGAGGGAGCGGAAGGGGCGCGATTGACGGTCGAGAAACGGGCAGAGGCAGGGATGGCGGAGAAGGCGGAGGCGGAGGGAGAGGAGCGCGACCGGGGCGCAGCAACGGCGGAAACACTGCCCGCCCTCACGGAAAACGGCGCGGAGGAAACTGCAAACGCGGCTGGCGCAGCGGGGACGGGCGGCGATTGATACGGTGCGCGGAACTGAGTCGCCACTGGCAGCGTGGGGGGGGTTTCACTAAGCCGTTGCGGGGAAAGCAGCCGTGCGACGCGTGGCGAGGCCACTCCTCGCAAACCTTTCGCCAGCGTGCGTCGAGACCTTCTGCTCGCGGCTCGGGCGTGGAGCGCCCATCGAATCATGGCGGGCTCTCGCGTCGATAACGGGCGGGCTGGAATTTCGCTGCCGCAATCCTCGGCGCCTGTCGCGCACTTGCGCCGTTAGCGCGCTCGCTGTTTGTGGCGATGGAAGGGCGAGGCAAGTAGGAGCGGCGCGGGCGGCGAGCGAGACGAGTGGACGGCTGGAAATCTGGATGGTCGGATGATTAGAATCCGAGCCTGCTGAGTGGACGTGTGCGTGAACGAAGCATTGGAGGGAGTGGAAACTGTCACTGCAAATTCTCATCCTCGTTACAGGCAGCCGGACCCAAGGGCCCATGTCGAGGTTCGGGGTCACGGGAAGGGATTGGTTGGAAGTGACGTGGCGTGATGCGGATGTGAGGTGTCCAGTGCAGCCGCGACGTCACTGCTGGTTTGCTGCTGCTGGCGGTTGAGCCGCTTCGTCTTCGCTATAGAGATGTGTCAGACCATCTGATTCTGCGGATAACATGCCAAACAGCATAACTGTAACATTTTGTTATATTCGCAACCAGTATATTTCAAGCAATCAAAGTAATGAATAAAGGAATTAATGAAAAAATGCATATGGTACAAACATTATAGTCAAGTTAACGGCCCTCTTGAGTGCCGTCAAAAATAGGGGGACCATGACCTTTGTCATGGCCCTGTATGGAACTTTTATTCACAAGCCACCCTCCTTGTCGAAGTCGTATGACCACCTCACTTGCTTCGACTTGCGCGAAAGTATTCCTTTCAAGCCCCCCTTCTTTCCCCCTTTCTCCACCACCTTGCTTCCTGAAACATGCTCAGCCCCATGCTGCGAGAGCGCACCAATATCCGCACTCCCTGGGCGGCTCAATGAAATGGTCGATCGCGAATCCAACGCATGCCTGGCATCAATCGCCCCTCCAGCAGTTGCAGTCCGCCTCAGCTGTCCCTTCCCTGCATACACCTCCCCATTCGCCACTGCCCTCCATCCAGAATTATTTGCCGGGCTACCAGGTTCGGTGTTAGATATGGCGGCTGTGACAAGGCCTCGGCTAGAGCTCCTCATCATCCCCCCCCGCTGTCCTGCAGGCTCGGCACCGAGCCAGGACTTAGCTATAGTGTCAGTGCCTTTGCCCGAGCCAGAATCGCTGTGTGAGCGGAACTGAGACGGCGCGTAAGAGATCGAGCGGGCGGCGGGGGAAAGAGACGAGGGGGAGTTAGTGAGGGAGCTGGAAGGGGAGAAAGAGGAGGGGGAGAACGAGGCGGCAGAGGGGGAGAAAGAGGCGGAGGGCGAGTAGGAGTTCATAGAGGGGGAGAAAGGAACCATGGGGGGGGAGGAAGTAGCAGCGGAGGGTGAGTTGGAGCGGGAGGAGAGGTTTGACGTGCGGAAGCGGACATCCAGGGGGGTGAAGCGCAGGCGGGGGGAGGGCTCGTCGCTGGAGCAGCGGGAAACGCCAGCGGCAGGAATGAGGCCCGCAGGGAGCCTGCCTGTGGCAGCAGCGAGGCGCACCGCCATGTCTCTCTCCGCCATGGCTGTCTCTAGAAGCACCTGCAGCCGCCGAGCCTCCTCCTCCGCCTGCTGCGCCCTCTGCTGCTGCTGCTGCATCTGCTCACCCATGCCCGCGGTACATGCCACGTCAGCAGGCGGCGATGTTGACAGGGACTCGAGGAGAGCCTCCATTTCCTTGGCGAGCGCGTCGCGCTCCTCCTTGGCTGTCTTCAGCTCCTCCTTTGTCGCCACCAACTCCTGCGTCCTCCTTTCAAGCAGCTCCGTTATGCGTCCGTTAGCCTCAGTCATGTCGTGCAGCTGGCCCCTCAACTCCACTACCTCCATTGCGATGCTCTGCCATTCCGGCGACCGAGCCTCGCCCTGAGGTCCGGAGTGCTGGTACGCTCTGGTTTGGGCCGAGCCACCTGTCGAACCACTTCCATTGCCGAAGGCATTTTTTGCTTGACCCACAGTTACCAGCTGCCGTCGCAGCACCGCGATTTCGTTCTCCAGTCGCCGAACTTCGTCGCCGCCAGCCGACATGCAGCTAGACGTCCGCGACAGACCTCCGCCACTCTCCCCCTTCGCCTGGGCGGCCGCGCTCCCCCCCCTGCGATCTCCCCCCTTCACGCGCCCCTTCTCCTCCCTCTCCCCCTCAAGCCCGCCCCTGGGCTTCTCCCTTTGCGCCGTGAGCGGGCGGGGGCGGTCGACGCAGCTAATCGTGCGCGACAGGTGCCCCCGCGCGATTTCGTCGGAGCAAATGCGGGGGACGCTCTCTCGCTCCCTCACAGGAAGGCTGTCCCGCCGATCCAGACCGCTCCTCTCCCGCTGCCTCTCGCGCTCTTCTTGCGCCCCCGACGCTCCGCGCGGCCCCGCTCGGCCCTCCCGCTGCCCGCTCTGCGCGCCACGCCGCGGAGCGGCAACCTGCCCAGCTGCCGCCGCTGGTCCGCCAGATTCGTCCGCGGATCCGCATTCCGCCACGGAGCCCAGCCAATCAACCATCAGGTCGTCGCATTGCCCCCATGCGTTCGCCTGGCCTTTTCTCCCGGTCGTTCCGCCAGACGCGCCGCGTTCCACGCTCTCGGACAGGGACTTCTGTGGAAGCTTCCTCCGAGAGTCCTTGGGATTCGACGTCCATCCCGCCAAGCTGTCGGGACTCCCGCCGCCCGCAGCGGAGCCCTCGCTAGCGATGAATCTTTCGCCATGCCTGCTGCTGGCGCCAGTAACACCTCCGATGCTGGTAACCCCACTGCTTGGCCCCATACCAGTGGAGAGCGTGGCGAAGTTCCCGCTCCCGCCGCTTCCGCTCAACTTTGCGCCGAGATTGCCGCTTCCGCCGCCCCCTGTGAGTAGGCGCACGGCGATGCGCCTCGCGGCCCCCGAGGAGGCGAGAGCGGCGGATGCGTTCGCGTCACTTTCTGTAACACTTCCTGACATCCGCGAAAGTAACTCGCCGATCTCGAAATGCGCGAATTGATGTCTAGGATCGATTGGCTGAGCCATGGTGAATCTGTCTGCTCTCGGAACACGGCCAGTGTCGTAAGTGATCGGAGCGGCGTGATATATTTGTGGATAGTATGAGCCGTGTTCTCCGGAAACCTAGTCGGACGCGCTGCAACGGAAGAACGGACCCGAATCTTCGTTATTGTAACAAAGCTAACTCGATTGCAGGCACAAGATTCACGAGCACGCTAGTTGTGTTGTCCATTTAGGGCCAGAAGGTAGCGAATGTCGATCGAATGTGCTGTTGAACAGAAATCGAATGTGGCGTTGTAAATAACGGAACGCCGTGCAGGCGGGGAATTCCGCCTGCAGATTCCAGAAGGGGGATGGGGGGAGGGATGGAGCTGATGAAATTTGCGGCGGGAAGATGATGAGGCGGTAGGGTGGGGTGGGGAGGGAGGGAGGGTGAGAGAAGATGCGGGGGGAAAGAATTTGCGGCGCAGCTGTCCTCGGTAAGGGGGAATGCGGGGGGTGGGGGGGGAGAGAGGAGAATGGCTTCGAGCCAGTCGCGCTGACTGGAAGGCATTACTTCGATGATGTCTGGGTGATTGCCCCTTCATCACGTGGAGCAGGTCCGGTCAGTACAAACTCGGCTATTCCTTGCCCTCCGGTGGATACATTCCACCACTTTATTTCTCGCTGGTTCGACAAGGAAAATCACGCAGACCTGACAAAGATAAACGCTTAGCCGAACTTTCTCCCGCACTTTCTCCCATCATACCTTCCAAACGCCACACTTCAAACACTCGAATCAATCAAGAAACTTCTGAACGATTTTCCATCCAACACGAGAAATCTACATCGCTCGGCCATGCTTCAGTCATGTGCGCTCATCGTACGAGCCCCGCTTGTGCGCTTTCCTTTCTCTTTTCCCCTCCCAACCTACCCACTTCGCAATCCCAGCTGAGCCCCTTGTCCCCCACTGTTTCTCTTCCTCCATCCACGTACAGTATTTATATCACAGCTCGTCCCTCCCCTGTGGGCCGAAAGGAAAAACCCATATGTAAAAATCCCTCGATAATAAGTTGTTAAATACGCCAAATTTGATAACCAGCCTGAGCTGGGTTCACTTCACGCCTTCCAGCTGGCACTCTGTCGTGAGCAGTCCTCTGGAAGTCAGGGTAATTACGCTGCTTTGTCAAGGAAAACAAGGCACATTTTCGACCGAGCCCTGCTTTTGATGCATTCAGAATATCGATACCCGTCTTTGGACAGGCAAGCCAAAATTATCCCACGGCCGATTTTCGAGTAGGGGATGGACTCACCTTGTAAAATCTAATGTAGAGCTCGCACCCCTAGAAAAAATGGCTCCCCCTGTCATTGTCAGGAGTGGCACATTCTGAGCTGGTCGAAACTCTGGCCTGCAAAAACAGTTAAAAGTTTTAGGGCTACCCAACCTAGAGGAGTTGGATCCCGGGCAAACTCGGATTCTGCAGGGTGACCCCTAGGTTATCAAGAGGCCTGGTCGTGAGTCGTGACCCGAAGACGTTGCCACTGTCGCGACGTAACGCCTTTGACAAAGAAAACTGTAGACGGGGGCTGGCACAGTTGCTGCGAGTAGCCATGATTGGACTGGTTATTCCATCATGGGGTTGCAGACAAGCACGAAGGGCTGAGCCTCTTCGGGCGGAGTTCAAACATGGTATCCAACCGAAATGCAACCCCATCCCACCTGCCCTGACGGAAGTTTGAGGGGGCTGTTTGCAGCGTGCGAAATAGCAGAAGCCTGTTGGAGACGAATGGGATGGCAAGGAATTCTGGAGTTACAAACCGACGTAGCTCGGGGGTGTCCCGCGCGTACGTTTCTCGCTCAATACCGTACCCAACCTTCTCAGAAGGTTTTGGAACCTTGTTAGACAAGTACACAACTGCAAGCAGACGTACGGGAGGGCACGCCCTGAAGCATTTGCTTTTTGAGAGTTTGATTTGAAGGTGATGAAGACATCAACGAACAAGGACAGCCGCCCTTCACACCAGGTCAATAATCTCAGGTGAATCTCGCCATCAACCAACCAATGGTCTGGCCGAGTTCGTCCGTAACGCTAGAGTTGACAGATCTTCCAAGTGGTGTGTGGTGTGGACTCTGGTGGACAAATCTACGAAAGTGCGATGGAGCTGCTGGGCTGGTGGGAGGGGAAGGGAGGATGTGATGAGTCAAAGCAACACTGCTCAGTAAAATGATGCGTAACAGTCTAACCCTCAACCTCTTTCATTCCCACAACCAGAAAGTGTTCCAAACAACTTAACATACATCCCAACTGGCTAAGCAAGCTGCTCTAACCAGGCAACAACCCATTGTATAAGAAACCAAAATTGCGTGGGGAATGCAGGCTGTTCGTTCTCTCTATTTAGTGACAAATGTTCTCATGGTGATATTGCGGTAGTGGTACCCGGACCAGTAATGGCATGTAGTAAAATTATACAAGGCGCAAAACCATAATCAAGCATCCAGCAATGACCCCTTTTTCCTACAGTGCACAAGCCCATGCGCCTTATCACATTCACTATACCCATACCCCGCCAACCACCCTCTCACAGCGGCTGGCGTCGTGTTCCCCGCCCTCAGCAACAACCGGTCCTCCTCATACAGGACAAACGGCGCCTCCTTGGGCGGGCGGCTGAGCAATCCGGCAGCGCCTCTCAAGGCGTGCAGCTCCCATCCCTGTACAGTCACCTTCAGTACAGCCACGTGCTGGTCGGGGAGAACGAGGGAGTCTATGGGGAGGGATTCCACCGTGGTGGGGATGACAGGGGCGTCCTTTGACGCGAGGGTGAGCACAGCCTCAGTCACAGCACTGTGTTCTAGATTGGATAGGATCTGATGGGGGGTGGGGAGTGGGAATGGGTGGGGATGGGTCGAGAGGGGTGATGGGAGAGTAGGGGCACGAGGGAGGAATTCAGCACGAGAGAGTGACCGCGGGGGAAAGCAAGGGAGTCTCCGGGGAGAGATTCGAAAAAGGTGGGGATCACCGAGTGTCAGATTTTCGAGAATTCTCAAAGACTCGAAAGTGGTGAGGATAATAGGGTGTAAGGGGCGTCCTTGGATGCGAGAGTGACCTGGCGTGGTGGTAAACTCACTTTGTGAATGGTGGTGTTGCCCGCTGTGTCAGATACTGCAGCCAGGTGCAGCTTCACCCATTTAGCCGCCCGGTTGAGGTGAACAGTGTCGCACATCTTGAGCACGTTCGCCAGCACGGGGTCTAGCGCTAGTGCATGGTAGAGACTCACATTGTGAATCGTGATGTTGCCTGCTGTGTCCGACACTGCGGCTAAATGAAGCTTCACCCTCTTTGCCGCCCGGTTGAGGTGCACAGCATCGCACATCTTGAGCACGTTCGCCAGCACGGGGTCGAGCGCCAGCACCCGCACCCCCATGGCTGCCGCTGCGAACGCCGCCGCGCCTATGCCTGCTCCCGCGTCGATGACTAGCGAGTCGGGCCTGACTGCCTTGGCCTCAATCAGCATCTCCAGCACTGACTGGGAGGGGCGGGAGAGGTCGGTGGTGTGTGTGTGTGTGTGTGGGGAAAGGGGTCAAATGAGTTGTGCCTATGCCTGCTCCCTCCCATGTCAATGACTAGTGAGTCGGCCTTGGCTTCAAACACTATCTCCAGCACTGACTGGGAGGGGAAAGGGAGGTCGGTGGTGTGTGTGGGGGGGGAAGGTGGAATGAGTTGCGCCTATGCACACTCCCTCCTGCGTTGATGACTAGTGAGTCGGGCGTGGTGGCGTTGGCTTCAATCAGCATCTCCAGCACTGAATGAGAGGGTGACTTTTGAGTCGACTCAAAAGTCACCTCCAGCACTGAATGAGAGGGGAAAGGGAGGAAGGTGGATGGGGGGGGGGGGGGGGTTTGATGAGCTACTCCTATGGCCGCCCCCCTCCCAAATACCAGAGAGCCCAGCTTCACGGCCTTGGCTTCAAGCAGCATGTCTAATCCTGACTGGGAGAAGGGGGAGAGGGACACAAGGGGAGAGGGACACATGAGGAGAATTGGCACGTGGGGAGAAGTGGCACATCCTTTCTCTCATGCGTGTTCCCTTGCATAGGCCCTGCCAATTCCGGTTTGAGGAACGGCCGCCCGTCCAGCAGCCGGACCATGTTCCGATTCGGCCGCCTCCTCGTGCCAAGGACAAGCAGCGAGAGGAAGAATTCGTACTTGACGTCATCTACCCGATGCGCAATCACAGGGGACGCCTGGTCCGCTTACTGCTAACCTAAACACTGAAACCAGTTGACGGGAAGAGGAGGCGCCTCACCTGCATCGCCACGGCCAGATCTGGCTTGAGAAACGGCCGTCCATCCAACAACCGAACCATATTCCTGTTGGGGCGTCTCCGCGTGCCGAAGTCGAGCAGCGAGAGGAAGAAGTCATACTTGACGTCGTCGACTCGGTGCGCGATCACAGGGGACGTCTGGTCGGCTTGGAAGCAGTCGAAGGGCAGCACGGCGGACACCCAGTCGTGCTGCACGGGGTCGCTCTCCAGCTTCACGCAGTGCTCTGGAAGGCGCTTGATGGTCTCTGGGCACATGAAGATGTAGCTGGGGGGGGGGGGAGTGCAAGTGCGTGGGGAAGGGAGTGGAGTTTGGCACGTGGGTTGGGAGAGACAGGGGAGGTTGGATGGGAGCAGTGGAAGGGCAGCACGGCGGACACCCAGTCGTGCTGCACGGGGTCGCTTTCCAGCTTCACGCAGTGCTCGGGCAGCCGCTTGATGGTTTCGGGGCACATGAAGATGTAGCTGGGGGGAATGCGGGTGGGGGGGGGGTGAGGGGGAAGAGAGGGAGGGACGTGGGTTGGGGGGGGGGTCGAGGGGGAGAGGGGTTTAGCATGTGGGTGCGAAGAGACGCCCTCCAGCTTCATACAGTGCTCTGGCAGCCGCTTGGTCGCCAGGCACATGAAGATGTAGCTGGCGGGAATGCGGGTGGGGGAGAGGGGGGGGAGAGGGGGGGGGGAAGGGGGGGGGAAGGGTTGAATATGTTGGGGGGGGGGGTGAGGAGCTTGGAAGCAGTAACGCAGTGTGCTGGTAACCGATTGATGGTCTCCGGGCACCTGCAGATGATGCTGGGGGGGATGAGGGTGTGTGTGTGGCGGTGGTGGGGATGCGGGTGTGTGTGTGTGGTGGGGGGGATGTGTGTGTGTGTGTGTGTGGTGGGGGGGACGTGAAAATGTAGCTGGCGGAATTGCGGGTGGGTTATAGAGGCTTTGAAGCAGTAACGCAGTGCTATGGCAGCCGCTTGGTGGTCTTGAGACACATGAAGACGTAACTTTACCGGGCGGGTATCAGGTAAGAGGCAACATGCAGGGTAGGGCGGCGGGGGAGGTAGGAAAGGGATGGATGTGAAAGGGGGGAGGGGGGAGTGATAGTTTGGACATAAGGAACATTTGTTTTGTTTTGGATGTACATAGGGTAGGGGGTTGGGGCGGTTGAATGGGTGAAAGTAGGGGAGGGGAACAATGTGAGGGGTAGAAGAAGGACCTGAGTGGGCGACACATGGGTATTTCCAACTGACCGACAACAGGAAGGGTAATTTACCCTGGGAAAAGCGCGGAGCCCAGCAGGACGAGGGCGATGAGGGAGAGCAGCCCGATGGTGACCCACGGCAGCAGCTTCTGCAGCGTGCCTAGGTTCTGCTGCAGGGAGGGGGGGGGAGGGGAGGGGGGGGGGAGGGAAGGGCGGGAGGGAACAAAGAAGTAAAGGAGACGTTGAGGGATTGTGATGGGGAAGCGGAAGCGGCGATTGTGATCCGCGGCAGCAGCTTCTGCAGCGTGCCTAGATTCTGCTGCAGGGTGGCGCGAGAGGGATGGGAGGGACACGAGGGGATGGGAGGTTGACACGAGGGGATGGGAGGTTGACACGAGGGGATGGGAGGTTGACAGGAGAGAGTCCGGTCTCGAGATGAGAGCAGCCCGGCGAGAGGGAGATCCATGGCAGCACCTTCTGAAGTGTGCCTAAGCTTTGCTGCAGGGAAAGGAAAGGAGAGCGGAACAACCAAGTAGGGGAGAAAGTGAGGGATTGTGATGGGGAAGAGGGAGCGGCGATGGTGACTCATGGCAGCAGCTTCTGCAGGGTGCTGGATTCTGCTGCACGGGGGGATGCAAGGGGAGGGGAAGTGTGATGGAATTTGGTGCAAGTGCTTAAAAATGGATACTCGGAGGGAAGAAACGAAGAAGCTTTCAAGCTAGCATCGGATGATCATAAAACCACAGACGCGCATTGAAATGAGGGATGCATCCAAACGACAATGGCCTGAAGTGTCGAAGTTGGTGCCAGTAGCGAGTCAATGCAAAAGATCTGTCCTTCTCAAAAGGCAACCCTTGCTCACGCGCTTAGAGTGGTGGCAATGGCGATGCCCTGTCTTATCCCACAGCAGGTGGGCGAGAAGGGGGAGAAGATACAGGACCGCCTTCCGTGATTGCATCTGCTCGAAGAATAACTCATGCTGCGGTTCGGATCCTTCGGTTTCCCATGCTCACGTGCTTGGACTGGTGGTAGTGGTGATGCCCCTTCTTTTGAGTTGACTCAAAGGTCACCTCGTTTAGAGTCCTGCTCACGTGTTTCGAGTCCTGCTCACGTGTTTCGAGTGGTGGTAATGGTGATGCCCCTTCTTATCCCGGTGCTGGTGTTGCCCTCCACCTCCCCCCGCCTTCCCCGGGCTGCGCATGGGGAATGCCGCGCCCATGCTGCCCCCCCGCACGTGGGCCACGTTGCGCCCGCGCGGAGTCTTGTCGTCCGCGGACGAGCCCTCCATGCTGCCCTCCGAATTCATCGCCTGCGACGTCGCCCAGCGATGCGGCGATGGTGAGCGACGCCCGCCTGCGCGAGCCTCAAGTGCTGTCGCCAGGGGAGAGCGACTGCTGCGACTGCTGCGACTGCTGCGGTTGCTGAGCGAATCTGGGGCTGGGTGATCTACTCTTCTTTCGCGAAGGGAGTCATTAGATGCCGCGAAAATCAGAGCGCAGTGCGAGAAAGTTTTAGATAGGACGATGACGAAATGGCCAACAGATTGGCGCAGACGAAGGGTGAAGAGACGCGTCGAGTCACCACTGAATGCCCGAGGACGTCTCGAGTCCACCCTAATGAAGAGGCAGGGAGAGGTGGGGACTAGGTGGGGGAGAGCGGACGACATCAAGGGCAACCAATTTTGGTTTTGGGTAAGGAGTATCCGCGCTATTGGACAGTAAACTCCGAGTCCCTGAGGTGGCTTTCATCCTCGTGTTTCGTAGTGGCTAAACCTTCGAGATATGAAGGAATTGTGTTTTCCCTCACATGGGATATGAAGTATTGCTTCATTCATATGCGGGGTAATATGTCTAACAGCAAGCTTCGCATGTGTCTTGTATCGGATATATCGAATCTCCTAAAAGGTCATGTCAGCTCACACGGAAATGACGTGTCTGAGCTCGCTGGATCCAATATCGGCAAATGATGCGAGTCGGAGCAGAAGTCAAGATTCCAGCCCAGAGCCACGTCAGTAATGCTGCATCAGGTAGCCCAGGAACTGGCTAGCTGTGGAAGAAAAATGCGCGGGAAAATGCGGGGCACGCTTGTTCATCCTTCATCCCGCCATCGCGACTTGGCATGAGGAAAGCCAAGGGTCCAGTACGGGAGCAAAAATCTTGGCGAAACTCAACGATCAATTTTGAAGCACCCCAATCCAATCACGTTTCCGCGCGAAAGATAAAACGGTTCTTCTCTTGGCTCTGTAACTCGAACTGGCTGTCGCCGTTGGTTGCTTCAGCAGGAGGGTGAGGCGAGAGGATAGATAGCGGGGGAAAGGACGGCAGTGACGAGAATGTTCTTCCAACCAATCCTTCTGGAGACGAAAACTTAGTTGAGAGCTGCGACGACTTGGCCCAACTTCTTCTTGCTTCGCCAGCCAGCTGCGGCTCGCAATCGTAGACACTAGCTTTCGTGGGCCTCTCTCAAGAAGGAAGATCTGGGGCTCGCCATGGCGTTTAACACCTGTTGTGCCGCTGGTTCGAGAGTCGCCGTTCCTTCCACTCTAGCACGCGCAACCGCCACGGCTGCCAACACTGCAAGCCCCAGCGCCATCGTCAGGCCGCCACAAAATTCGATGCGGGGGCTGGCGCTGACGCACCGCGGCACGAGCCATGGGCCAATCAAACCCGTGTGGACCAATCGCCGCGTGGCACGTGGAGCTAGAGCCGCCGTGGCGACTGCTCCCGCGAAGGCGATTGCGAAAGAAGAATCTGCGATACTGTACAAGGTGGAAGGTGCGGTGGATGAAATTTGATAATAATTAACAATATAATCCTTTACGTTCGCCTTCGAAAGAGTAACACCCGGTTTTTACTATGCATTGGTCTTGTTTCGGCGTGGAAATTGCCAGTGCCTTAATTTCGTCGCTAGTGCCTTAATTTCTTATTTTCCTTAGCTTCTCGTTCCTCGCCTGGAAGAAGCCATTTTCCTTGCTTACCGTCGCCATGCCTGCATGCTGCCCATCCCGTCTCCGCCGCATGCCTCGCCGCGCATAGCACCAGAATTCCCAGACGGCACGGTGATGCTGCGCTTCGCAGAGGCCGGCACAGCCGCGGCCGGCGCGGCCGGCACGGGCAGCGGGAAGCACGCGGCGGTGGAGGTGGAGAGAAGCGTGGTAGAGTTTCTGCTGGGTTGCCGGACGCCGCACTGCCGCGTGCTGGATAACGCCGCGATCGACGAGATCGTGGGCACCCACGTGCCCCTTCAACCGTACGTGTGGTACATTTGTTGATTCTCCTCTTTCCACTCTTTCCAGTCGCACACAAGAACAGCCTGATCAACCATCAACACATAGTATTGGGAAGACGCACGCACTTTGAACCACCCTTTTCTTGTTTCCCACTCCCCCACCCCTCCCTATCACCACAGAGGCCAGCAGCTGTCGCACCTGGTAACCATCACCGCGCACAACACTGTTGCCCTCTGCCGTCCTTCTCTGCCTGTTCCCCCACCCTCCATGGGTCCCTCCACCCCCCCCCCCCTCCTCCCCCCCACAAACCACCCCTTCCCCCCTTTCCCCCCCTACCCCCACTCATCTCCCCCTCATCCCTGCCCCCCCCTTCCATCCCCCCCACCCTCCTCCCCCTCCCTATCACCACAGAGCCCAGCAACTGTCGCACCTGGTGACCACCACGGCGCACAACACTGTCACTGCTCTCAAGGAAACCCTCTCGGCGCACAGCCATCATCAGCAGCAGCACCACCACCACTCGCCTGCCACCAATGATCATCCCTTGGAACCAGTGCTGTCTGCCATCACGAGTACTCCTGCACCACCTGCAGTTGCGCCTTCAGCAGCAGCACAGAAGCCAGCAACAGCGCCAGCAGCACCAGCAGTAGCAAGAGCAGCAGCAGCAGCAGCAGTAGAACATCAGAGCTCAACAGCAACGCAGCTTGCTCCTGCTGCTGCCGCCAGCAGCAGCAGCATCAGCATCGTCACCTCGCCTGTTGCACCCGTTGTGCTTGCTGCAGCAGTGGCAGCAGCAGTGCAGCTGGTAGCTAAACGCACGGGCCTGGTGAGGAAGCTACCAGGAAACACCCTCAAGGCGTGGGCGCTATGGAGCTGGCCTGCTGCGGCTGTGATTGTAGCTGTGGCTGCTGGTGTGCTTGTGTGGCGCGTGACTAAAGAAAAGGCATCCGGCAAGACCCTGCCCCTTCTTTCCTAATGCAGTCCGTGACTGAATGGGGGCTGCTGGAGTGCTTGTACAGAGCATGACTTATCCACTTGCACAAGGCTTCGATCCATCCACAATATTCCTTTTCCATGGGGTGTGTGTGTTTGTGTTGAGTGATACTCGTCCATATGCCAATAAGCGTTTTTTACATGTACTTTTCTTTTCATACCGTAAGACCTGGAACATACTGATATTTTCCTTATCGTATTAAGAGGGCTTAGTGTCAACACGCAATTTTGATAATGAAGAGAAATATTACGAGACAAATATTGCACCAGGGAGTTGTGCCTCAGTTGTTCTATGCCCCAATGAGCCTCATACCCGCTCTTAGAGCTGGTGCAACCAGAAACCCCTACATTATTGATGCTCAGCTACTGCTAACTCAACAGTTCCGAAGTGAGGTTTAGGCTCGGCCCATGTAGGAGCCGGTGCGAGTGTCTACAGTGATCGCCTCTCCCTCTTCGATGAACAGTGGCACCGACACTGTAGCTCCCGTCTCGATAATCGCAGGCTTGGTCCCACCTGTTTGTTCAAGTAGTGCAATGGAAACGGTGTGCAAGGGGGAGGGGGAGGAGGGGGGAGAGTGGTGAGGGGGGGGGGGAGGAGAGGAGGGCGGAGTGAATCATTACATACTGTCTAGCTCGTTACATATTGCAGATGCTACCTATGTATCCATCGACGAAACTCTCTGCATCCATTCAACCCTGTGCTTCCTCGCCCCCCATCGGACTCACCTCCGCCAGCAGTGTCCCCCTTGACACGGGGGTCCGTTTGAACAACCTTCACTTTGAGCGCGCTCGAAAGCTCCCGCACCCGACTTCCTTTCTCCACTCATCTCATCCATCTCCCCTCGTCTCTCTCCTGTCACACTCGTCCCTCATCGCTTACCTCCTCCCGCCGTGTCCCCCTTGACGCCGGGGTCCGTTTGAACGACCTTCACTTTGAGCGTGATCGGCAGCTCCAGGTCGATCACCTTGTCGTTCCACGTCAGCACGTTACACTCCATCCCCTCTTTAAGGAACTTCACTCTGTCGCCCAGTTGCGCCTTGGTCACCCGCGTCTCCTCGTACGTCACCTGGAATTGAGAACAGGGGGGAAAGAGGGAGCGGAAGAGAGGTGTCCGACTCGGTGAGATAAGCATACATGCACCTAATGTCGAGCCATGCTGATGTGGGAGACACACGCATGCGGCATGCGTAGCGATGTTGGGGTATGGGTCATGGTCCATGAATACATGTAGGCATGCCACGGGAATCGGGGGCTCAGCTAACCGCATCAATTTTCTCCTCATGCAGTCAGCCACACGTCATGCGGCAGCTGGCATCGGAGAGTCTCATTTTGATCATCATCATTGCCGCGATTTCCAGGGGAATGCACAAGGGGATTCGGTTCGGAAGACATTTGAGTCGACTCGAGAGTCAGCAAAGGGGAGGATGGAATCAAACACGCTCTCCCGCCGCCTTCAAGGGAGATGAAGAGAATCGGTTCAAATGCAACACGAGATTGGAGTGACTCCGATATCGAGTCGGGCTCAACAGCCCCGGCATGCAGATTACACGACAGCAGATTGATAGACAACGAAAAAGACGGAAATCAATGGCGAGGGCAGCTCAGTCCGCCGGTGAGGCCACACGCGGGCCGTCCATCTTGACTCGGACGGCCGTTCGGCACTTGGGATCACGTTCATCATCACCGCTGCTCTCCGAGCCGCCCGTAGTTGCGGTGCCGGCTTATCAAGTCCTGTTAGCCGTGTCAACGCAGTGAACCTACATTTCTCTGTCACAAGCGCGAGTCGACTCGTGAAAGCAACTGGCCATGTCCATCAAGACGTAGTCCTCGCCCTCGAGGTACGTGAACTGATTGGATCGGCGTAAGTGGACCATCGGAACACTACATGGCGTAGGGGGTTTGAATGGCCAGCCAAGCCAAGCAACTCACCATGTCCATGAAGACGTAGTCCTCGCCGTCGAGGTACGTGAACTGCTTCACGTCCTTCACCACGCTGGCCTCGTCCACCTGCCGGGAAAAAATATGAGATAAACGAAAGTTGGAAAATGAGGGGAATAGGAGAAGATGAGGGTACTGGGGCGAACGATGGGAGGGGGAGTGGGGGGATAGAAGGGAAGAACGAGACAGACGGAGAATTTATCCTCATACCAGACCGAGGACGAAAGCGGAACAAAGACAGAGAGTCGAGGGGTTTTAGTCCGGAGATTGACTGACCGACTCGCCGGCTCGGAAGGTTCGCTCAACGGTGTTCCCCGTGATGAAGTTGCGCAGCTTGGTGCGCACGAACGCCGCCCCCTTGCCGGGCTTCACATGCAGAAATTCTGCACTGACAGCACAGGGAGGACGGATGACAACGAAAGTTGGATCCATTTCAAGAAGGAAAAAAGGAAAAAGAAAAGAACGAAAAGACTCCGAAGCGGATAGCGTGGTTTGATCTACATTGGCTGTCACGAAGGAATGCACGCGTAAATAGACATGAAGCTGCGTCAAAGCCTTTTCTTCCGTTGCTTGTACGCGAGGGTTCCCACCATCACCATCAACGCACCTTGCACTCTCCACGGCGCGCCGTCGAGCTCAATGCTGGTTCCCACACGGAAGTCGTTGCTGGAAATGGCGAAGATTCCTGAAAGCGGACCCAAAACAAATTGGAAGGAGCTGGGGAGCATTAGAGAAATCTTTCTTGATCAACTCAACAAGGAGACCACATTGTCTCAAGATTCCCGGAAACAATAAATAACTTACGGAGGGGTTGACGCGAACTTCTGTTTATTGCGACGTGTGCGACGGCTTGCGATGTCGCCTTTCGCCTCCATTCGCAGCTCGCGGTTGACTCTGGCGAAAGCAGCAGCCTTCCCGCTGCTGCCGCCTGAACCGACGACTGCGCAATGCTCAGCATCTCTACCACCTTGATCCTCACGATCTCCCTTGCAGCCGAGACGCCGGATCACGAGAACTAAGTCAAGAGGGACGACGATAAGACCACGGCAATATTGTTGAAAATAAGCTGGTTCTCGGACTGACCAGGGAGATTACCACCTCTGTGAAGACTCGGAAAGTGATTTTCGGATTGGGCGAAGCTAACATGACAGAGAGAGCCCACAATAGATTCCAGATTTCCCTCCAGCCCAACAAGCTGGTGTTCCCTCCACCAAGGCGAGCAGGGGAGACAGGATGGGAGGTTGACGAGGCCGAAGGGATTTCATGCTGAGTGGATGCTCCACCTTTCAGATAGGCTTTCGCGAAAACAATGAATTGTCGCAAGTGCCTCACGACTGTATTCCGTTGGAGTGTGTTGGAGGCGAAAAACGGCGAGAATGACGTACATTTTCTGTTACAGAGTTGATGTGGCAATGGCATCTTATCAGTGGGGCCATCAGACGCAGATTTGGGTGAGTGACCATGGTGACGTGCCACTAAGCTGGCAAATGGCAGGGGCGAAAATTTCCATGAAAGAACCATACACCAGGGGCACAAAACATGTTCGTATATATAGATAAAGAATACACCAAACCACCACTTACGTGGAACAAAATACAAACCTACGGTTGGGAGTGAACAAGCCATTTGCTATATTTGTCAAGCTTTAATCACTGAGATGCAAGCAGAATACGTAAAGTGTTGTTGGGGGTGAGAAATCTATGTGGGAAGGGCATTCCCGTTGTAGGTGATGTGTCCTTGCACTCCAACCACTGCTCGATCGCGTAACGCTCATATGTGTACCCGTCAGCTGCCACCACAGGGTCCATCATGCGCCTCTGCAAACACGGTGTGAAGGAACGCAAGGTCTAGGATTTCCAATTGAGAAGACAGAACCATAGGCCATGTGTGAGGCAAACACAGTGGTTGGGATGCCAAGTAGGCCTAAAGAAAACGCTCGAAATATATCCAAGGCCGGGTCGACATACCTGAGAGATGGGGCAGAGCAGCTGGCTGTCCACATCCGTCCTTCCCCTCTCCCCCTCCCCTCGCACTTCCTCCGCTAGTCTCATCAGCACCGGCTGCACCTCCTCTTCCAATCCTGGCCTCCGCGCCCTTGCCCTGTCAGCGCACCGCACTCCAATCACAGCCAGGTGGCGTGCAACGTCAGCATGCCACTCCCCGCCGGACTTATCCAGCCGTGCCAAAACAGCATCCACTGCAGACAACCGAGGCTCTGAGGATGATGCTCCCTCTCCAACCCCATGACTGCTACTGTTGCCATTTCCACATCCACTTGCCAAACCCGTGTTTCCCTCCCGCCCTCCCTCGTCTACTCTGATCTGCAGCTAGCTTTACTGCTGTATCCGCCAGCAGGCGGTGAACCAACTTCACTTGAGGCTCCCCATCAGCAGCTGAAGCACTATCAGCCCGAACGCGTAAACATCAGATAAAACCGAGATTTCACACGTTGCCACCTCTTCAGGGTCTATATACCCCACTGTCCCTTGCACGCGCGCGGTTACATTGTAATCATCTTCAGCAATTAGCCTCGCCAGCCCCACATCCCCAAGCTTGCTCATGCGGTTACCATCCGAGTAACACATTGTCGGGTTTCAAGTCTCGGTGCACGATGGGCGGTGAGTGCTGGTGGAGGTAGAGCAGGGCGCCTGAAACTTCAGAGAGTATTCGTACCCTGTCGTACCAAGCCAAGGGCTGGCGCAGGACACGATGCACCTGAACAGCTCCTGCCGAACCTGCCCCTGAACCAGCAACCGAGCCGGCTGTCACACCCACGCCAGGGCCAGTCAACACAGCAGAGTTCATGCTGCCGTGGCCTGCCCCCATTCCCCCAGCACCACCCCCATTCCTCGCACTAGCAGACAAATACTCCTGCAGGCTGCCGCCCGGGAGGTACTCATAGAGAATGCACATGGCCTGGGGGTCGGGGCAGTGCCCCATGAGCAGCACGATGTGCGGGTGGCGCATGCGGCTGAGCACCTCCACCTCCGTGCTGTACTCGCTGGGGCCCTGCCACCCACCGCCCTCCAGGCGCTTGATGGCCATGTTGCACCCCAGCAGCTGGCCCTTGAACACCTGGAGGAAGGCGGGTTAAGGGAGGGAGGGATGCGATTGGCCATCTCCTATTCCAACCCCATGGAGGAAGGGAAGGGAAGTAACTCTGCGATAAAAATAAATGAGGTTCAGCACAACCATTCATAGAAGTAATCCGATTTCGTTACACAAATTCCCAAAATGTTGACACCCTATTTTAGCATGACGTAATTTCAGTTCAATGCGCTATTTCTCACATTCACACGTTCACCGCCCGTTTCTCCCCGCAATACCTGTCCGAATGCTCCTCGTCCCAGCAGATTCGCGTCACTGAAATTGTCTGTAGCGCGTTATAATTTGCTCCAAGCCGAACACCCGGCACTGCCCCCTCCCCTCCCCCAAACCCTTCCCCCCTTCGCCCCACCTACCATCCCCATTACCCGCGCCTTCCCCCTTGCCCCTCCCCCCATTCCATGTGTCCGCGTATCCAGTGCGGTTGCTGCTTATCGTTTCCCAGCAGCTCCTCCTTTCCGCCTCCCCCACATCCGCGCATTCCCTCTGCAACGCCCCGCTCCCCGCGGCTCCCGCGAGATTCGCTGCGGGGCTCATCCACGCAGTGCGCGCCGAGTCGCCCGCGTCCGAGGTGAGTGTGATAAAACTGAACCCATTCGATACAGAGTCGAGCTCGCTCGCCATCTCACTCGCAGTTCCCGCTGACGCCATTCGCGGGCCTCGCGTCGGTACTTGCGATGCTTTTCCGACGTCGGTAGTGGTGGTGCCTTTTGCGACGTCTCATAAGTGCTTCGCGCGGGTGCCAAATGCGTCAGCTCTGGCTCGGCGCGCTGCCAGACCGCGCCGCGCGGCGCTCCTGTTCCCGCGGCGCCTCGCGGGTCGGCCCCGAGAGTCGAGTAGAGCGCACTCGGCCG